CCTATATCGAGTGGCGAAGGGCAGGGCGCCAAACGTTGATTAATTTCTCGTTTTTACGCCATTTTCTATTTGTCTTGTGCGGTAATTACGACAAGTCCTTGGTGGAGGATGGATACCAGATACCCAGATAGCCAGCCAACTTCCTGCCGCGTGTCCAAGACAAACACGAAAATTCCCGAGGAGCGGCGGAGTCCGGCGGTTCCCTTAAATTCCGTTCCGCTCCGCTCCGCCGGACGGACGGACGGACTGCTTCCGGTAATTGAATCAAATGAAGCAGCATTAGTATTAGCTTCTTATGGTCGGTATCGTTCGAGAGATGCTTCCTCTGGCATAACTCTGTTTATTTTTGTAAATTAATTTTTAATTTAATGTACGTGTGGTGGGCGACGCGCTAGTTTCACGCCACGATGACTGGAGCGACAGGAAGTGGGCGGGGCCGAGGACCCAACGCCCACTACCCACCACCCAGTCAAGGCAAACAGCGAAAGCAAAACAAAACAAGAGTGGAAAGCCAAACACGAATGGCCATTGGAAGTGGAAGTTTGTATTCCCTAACGAGGAAATTGTTATACGGATCGGCGATTATACTTCTATACTTTTATATGTATTTGTAGGCGATTCCTAATTCCTAAAAGGCTTAGCCAATTCTTTTATTTTAATGTGAAATTAAGAACATAAAACAAAAAAGACATTTTAGGACAAAAATAATATTACGTTAAAAATAAAATATAAATACATGAGATATTAAAATGTGGGTGTCTTTTTTTAATGAATTTATAGCTATCCAAGGTTATTAAAATTTTTAAAATCAGTGAATTCTTTGTTATATTATATATTATATTTTTTTACTTAAAAATTTACGATTTGAATTTATTTCCCAAACAAATTCTTCTTCCACTTGCATCATCATCCGCAGATACCCTTAATTTCAAACAGGACCCACAAAGCACCCAAAAAAATCTGCTCTGGACCAGTAGATGAAGTAAATAGTCCCTGGCCCCAGCTCCACACTCAAATATAAAGTAGGAAAAGCAGTTTTCAGCTGGTCAGCAGGCTGTCGAAAAATAAAAGTAAAACAAAGTGGGACCGCGTTGAAGGGGCGTGGTGGACTACGGTATAAAGCGAAAAGACGACGAAATACTTTTTCAAGATAAACGGAAACAAGCCAAGATGGAATTAATTTTCCGCTTTGAACAAACAAGCGGATGTAAATAAAAAAAAAATGAACCAGGAACCAGCAGCAACCTAGAGAATCCAGCGAAGACGTCGACGTCAAAGTCAAAGGAGTGGGGAAACGGACCTTCCGAGGGGGCCCAAAGGAAGCGGACGCAAGGGGAGTTTCGGGGTTAGACGAGGGCTCAGAGGGGCGGTTAAACAGGAGCTACGATGTCTGCCAAGTTTAGCAAGTTCAGTCTGGACACGGCTGGCCCAACGTTATGTGCTGTTAATGACTGTACAAGAAGTTTAATTGTGCTACTGCCTACACGGAAAACAAATTGAAGGCTTTCAAAGCTTAATAATATACCAGGAAAAATATTTTTCTGCACTTTAAGTTTGTAATCCTAATTATTTATACATTATTAATCTGAAGAATATGTAAGATTTTTAAATGTATTTTAATTTTTCTTCGATTTATTGAAGTTAAAATAATTAATAATGGTAAATAAAGATATAAATGTTTAATAAAAAATTTCCTTGATTATTTATTTAATATCATAGCATTTTATTATACAACTAATCCTACATCTTAACTCAAATTTATCCCAGTGTAAATATAAAACTGTGGGGAAAAACAAGGATGCGGAGTGGGGTGGATGGATGAGGCTCCCAGATGGGCGTGTGGTAATACTACACACACGCATATTGACAAATTGCAATTTAAATAGACAGCAATAAGTTAAACAGACGCACACACTCAACGCATTAACATTGGGCGGATATTGGGTAGTGAGGTGGTGGGCGGCAGCCAAAAACACGCCACGTCTAATTAGTTTAGCATGGTGCTCGGGGAGGTCAGGGGGCATCAATCGGCCGAGATGCTAGAGATGAGCAATAATTAGACAAAAAGTTAATGCGATGAGGGAATTACAATGCATTTAGCCATGGCTTGTCAGCAAAAACATGCGACACAAATTAGGGAGCCATGTCCAGGATAAATTATGAATTATAATAAAGAAAGAGTAATATTTGAAGAATAAATATTGGTACTAGATTAAAGTAACATCACTATGGACGGCAGTCCATGTAGTGACGAAGCGCACCAGGAGAGTGTGCGAAGGCGACTACTATATATCAAATAAAAACACCTCTTAACGAGGTAAAAAAACTAGTGACGATCGCGCCTTCAACATACAAAAGTTCGATATCAACATTTGTGACGAAAAATTATTACACTCGTCATTAAATAGACTTTCTAATATTTTCTCATTCGGCCCGCCCTAGCAAACTATTCCAGCCTTTTTCCCTTTACAGGCATTTTCTATTGCAGCGTGCCGAATGAGAAAATATTAGAAAGTCTATTTAATGACGAGTGTAATAATTTTTCGTCACAAATGTTGATATCAGAACTTTGTATGTTGAAGGCGCGATCGTCACTAGTTTTTACCTCGTTAAGAGGTGTTTTTATTTGATATCAGAAGTTTTTGTTTGTTTACATTTGCTCTCATAGGAGCTAATATATACATTTAAATTTAAATTGGTAAGCCATTGTATTTAACGAATTAAGTTAAAAAGGCGATGAAGTATATCAAAATACCTTTTAAACGAGTTATAGCACATGTCTGTACCTGTAGTAGTTTAGAACTTACAAACTAACGAAATTTAGCTATTTTTAGCTTTTTCCCGCTAAAGTAGCGGCTTTTTCCAAAAGTCGTAGAACAAAAGATTCCTATATGGAACCTTAAGTGCAAATTTACAGATTCCATGACCCTAAAATACAGTTCGGATACCCTCCCACAAAATTCAATACTCAGGGAGCGTTAATTGTTCGAGCTGGCAAAAGTGGCTATTTTCGTATAAAAATAACTTTTAAACGTGACTTTTACAGTAATGTGTTGTATACCAAAATTTAAGGAATCTCAAGGGCTATACAGTTTAAGGTTTTAAAGAAAATCGTTAGAGCCGTTTTGAGAAAAATAAAAAAAGCTAAAAAAAGTTTAAAAAATTGTCCTTTGTTCATATCTTTTAATTATTACATTTACACAAATTGCATATAGAAGGCGTTTATAGCATTTAAAAATACCTTTCAAACAAGATGCAGCACAAGTCTGTAGCTTTAGTAGTATAGAAGTTACGGTTTTCCGAATTTTAGCTATTTATAGCTGTTTTCCCGCTAAACTAGCGAGTTTTTCCAAAAGTGGTAGAACAAAAGTTTTTTATATCGATGGGATGAACGTCATATTAAATTTTCAAAACTTAAGAAACATGTTTTGGACATTATTTTTATATTTTTAAATGCTATAAACGCCTTCTATATGCAATTTGTGTAAATGTAATACTTAAAAAATATGAACAAAAGACAATTTTTAAAACTTTTTTAGCTTTTTTATTTTTCTCAAAAACGGCTCTAACGATTTTCTTTAAAACCTTAAACTGTATAGCCCTTGAGATTCCTTAAATTTTGGTATATAACACATTACTGTAAAAGTCACGTTTAAAAGTTATTTTTATTCGAAAATAGCCACTTTTGCCAGCTCGAACAATTAACGCCCCTGAGTATTGAATTTTGTGGGAGGGTATCCGAACTGTACTTTAGGGTCATGGAATCAGTAAATTTGCACTTAAGAGTTCCATATAGGAATCTTTGTTCTACGACTTTGGAAAAAGCCGCTACTTTAGCGGAAAAAGCTAAAAATAGCTAAATTTCGTTAGTTTGCAAGTTCTACACTACTAAAGGTACAGACATGTACTATACCTCGTTTAAAAGGTATTTTCAAATACTTCAACGCCTTTTAACTTAATTTGTTAAAATACAATAGTTTAAAAATTATGATTGACCAATTTAAATTTAAATGTATATATTAGCTCCTATGAGAGCAAATGTATACAAACAAAAACTTCGATATCAAATAAAAACACCCTTAACGAGGTAAAAAGACGACCGCACCTCAACATACAAAAGTCTGATATCAACATTGACGAAAAATTATACACCGTCATTAAATAGACTTTCTAATCTTTCTAATTCGTCACGCTGCAATAGAAAATGCCTGTAAAGGGAAAAAGGCTGGAATAGTTTGCTAGGGCGGGCCGAATGAGAAAAGATTAGAAAGTCTATTTAATGACGAGTGTAATAATTTTTCGTCACAAATGTTGATATCAGAACTTTTGTATGTTGAAGGTGCGGTCGTCACTAGTTTTTTACCTCGTTAAGAGGTGTTTTTATTTGATCAGCTATTATTGCAAAGTATTTATTATATTTTGCGTCAAAACAATCCATAAAAAAATAACAAAAAGCAGTGTAACCTTTTAATTAAAGATTTATGTATTTTAAATAAATTGAAATTTAATAATATTAGAACATTTTTTTAAAACCGGTATTAACAAAAATGTTTTAAAAATAAAGAAGTTAATTGATTAAGAGCATACTTTTAGGTTTAACTTGAGAAAACTTTGGCATCCCTTAATAAGTCCCATCTTTGGATCATATCTCATCCCCTCCATCATCCATTAAACCCCGCCCAAAAGCCGACAGTACCTCCACCGACTAAATACATTTTTACGGCTAGCCCACCATTTCCCTTCGTTTTTGGCACAATAGTTGCCATTTTGTCGAACTAGGATATCTGAAATATTGTGTAGCAAATATTGATGGAAACATTTACGCACACACGCACACAATTAAACACGTTTACACACGCTGATAAACACCAGGCACACACATACACTCAAATAGAGATGAATAGAGGGTAAGTAGTAATTGATGAGTTTCCGTTTATGGGAACATCAATCATACGCACTGTATGCCAACGCTTTGCAACCAGGTTAAGCAAATACATAACTCTATAGCAACCATCTAGTCGGACTTTTCACGACTGCCTTTATTTTCCAAAGCATTGTCAAAATCTATCTAAGACTATATACATGGTAATCCTCTCATGTTTCGGAATTCCTTATGGAAGATACAGTTTTTGTAGTTTCGATTGCATTTACTTTCGCGTCCACTGATAGACTTTGTCTCTTGGTCCAGCAGAGAATGTTCACCCAAATCAGACCGCAAACACCCATATAGATAACTCGGAATCGGGGCGCCACCAGGGAAAAGTTCAAGGCCTGGGCGGGCAACCAGAAAATGCAGGAGCGCACAAAAGTCGGCACAAACTTTTCGCGCAATTCCAGGAAAGTATCCTCACTGCCCTCCATCATAGACATCCCTGGAAAGATAACAATTAACTTTACTTTTACTGATTGGACTTTTTGCTATGGACTCTAAAAATATAAATATTTAATGGTTCATAAGAAAAATGTAATACTTATGCATTTGTAACAAGTTTTGTTTTAACGATATTTATTTTGAAAATGTATTTTAATTTTGAAAAGCGTAGCAAATTGTAACGATTTTAAAATACTTTTAAGTATTTATATAAATCGCTCTTTAAGATATATAAAATCAAAATCATTTATAACTCAAAAAAATGATACCCAAACTTACCTGCATAAAAAACAGTCAGTAGATAAGGCGTTAATACAAACTGATCCAGTACCAATTTTTTAACTATGACGACTTTTGTAGTGCCGGGAAAAGTACGATCTAGCCATTTATACCTTGGAAATTTATTAAATAAATTATTGTATATTATATGTTTATAAATATTTGTGTTTATACAAAAAATGCAGAAGCAGGCAGGTTGGGCAGGAATGTTTAGAGTAAATAGGGTGCTTTGGGACTTAAATATGGTGTTTTCAAATGTTCTCGTGTGTTTGTGTTAAATTTATTGTGTATATTTTTGTGCTTTAATGTTAAATATATATGTTTTCCTGGTGATTTGCTGTACATAGGTATATTCATGTGTGTTTTCGGTGTAATTGTGTTATATTTCCATGTGTTCTTCCTGTTTTCTTTTGTTTGTGCTTGAAATCGTGATCCTTTTTAGTTGACTTCCATCATTCTTCAGCATTCTAAACTTACATTGCATATTATTTGTTATGGTCGTGCAATTTCTCAGTGCTTTTCTCGATAGCTTTCCCTCACAGAGGAAAAGCTTTGTGCTCTGGTGGCGTAGGTGCTTCTAAAGAGAAAGTGTTAAGAGAAAGTGAGTGGCGAAGAGATGCTCTTGAAGTTGCGACACGTGCTCATGGAGCTTTTACGGAATCGTAAACAAATTGATAAAAGTCAAAAACAACAACAGAAGCGTACGGCGAAGCAAATTGAGGAAATAAATAGAATGGTTAAATGGTGAGCATGTAAGTGTGAGTAAATTGACTGGTCCACTGATATGTGAGTGTGCATACACAGCTGTGGTCAAGAAATTAGCTCCAATAGTGTTTCCCCTAGATCTTAAATCAATTGCCTTAACGTAACAATAGTCTTATTAACAAAGTCAAATTTTTGTACAATTTTCTTAAACGATTGTTTATTTAATTATTTGTTGTAATAAAATACGTATTACAAATAATACAAAAATATAAATAAATAATAACAAACCTAGTTTGCAAAAAAAATACCACCAACATTTACTATTTCTAAAAATGCCTTAATAAACTATGAAATTATTTTAAAGTATTTTTTTCTATTTTGATAAATTTTTTTTTGCAATGGATCACTAGATCAGATTAATGGAAACAAATTCAGAGCTTTCATATTGACCACGACTGTTTTTAAATACAAATAAAAGAAAATATGTAGTTATGTACAGATTTATTATCTGGTGGGCACGAACCAAAAGTAAAGTGTTGGGGCATATACCGCGGTGCCCATCACAGCATATCTTCCTATTGTTGCATAATCGATATCCTCTCGCTCGGCCTCCGGCTACAGGGCACATAAATCTGATTAGAAATCGCCGATATATACCCCTCGGATATTTGTATGAATCCCTTCCAATGTTCCATACTATATTTAATAATAAAACTTACGGCCAGCCAGCGTTTGGATACGAATTGCTGGGAATATTCGGCGCCCACATACAGACTCCCGTAGATGGCGCTATTGGTCACGAACGGATATCGACGGAATAAAGTTCGTACTCCCGAAACTAAACGAGCCATTATCTTCCTTAAATTTGATTATATTTTTTTGTAAAAAATTTCTATAAATATTTTTTTGGAAGCGGCCAGCCGCCAACGTTGACGGAGCTTTACTGAGGAAAAATTCCAAACTAAGGCTCAGCTGTTACAAAAGACAATCAGTGAGCAACAGAGAGCCGGGCAGAGATAAAAGAGAAAAAGGTTTTTCTAAGAGAAATATAAAAGTTTACCTTTCTGGATTGCAGGCAGAATCTTTTTGTTTAAAAAAAGCTTTAAATGCAACTATCTTTTAAGCGATATCTCTAGTGGGTTTATCAACCTATTCAGATAAGACTCGCTGTAGCAATGATTACTAAGAAAAGTAAAATAGCCAATTAAATCTATTAAAAGATAAGACTAGTTTACAGTCAAAATACACTAAGAATGATGATGATAGTTCGTGGTAGAGTTACCCCCTAGATCACCAAAAATATTATAAAAATATTTTTTTAAGGATACATTTTAATTATTTTAAAAATTTATCCGTGTTTCAAGGTATATCTGGAGTTGCGCTATATCAATTTAGGTGATATTTGTTTTAAATTAAAGCTATAATGTCACCCTTTAACTTTGCTGAAAAAAATTAATAGGATATACTATATAGTGAGCTAAAGGTCGGCAAGTACACAATATACACAATGTATCGTATCATACTGCATTACTTATATTTCTTTGTTGTCTGTAGCTAAGTAAATATTTCCAGGAAACTCTTCTTATTAGTTTGTTAAGAGTATCATTAATAAACAAAGGTTTTATAAAAAAGCAGTGCAGTTCCAAAGAGTATAAAACACCACAATTTACGGTGCTTTCCATCAGTAATAGTAAAATGTGGTTTTATTACACTGGACTCGGAGTGATATTGGCCATCAGTTCACTAGCTGGAGCTTATCAAGTGATACCAACTATTGGAGATGGTAATCTAATTTAAATAGATAGCTTAATAATATTTCAAATTAACTAATTTTTTTAATAGGAATACCGGATCAGCTGAACATTACTACAGGTCCATTTGTTAAAATCGGCCACGGTTATTATTACATTGAAACTCAGAAGCAAAAGAGCTGGTTTGATGCCTTCGAATCTTGTCGTCGAATAGCCTCTAACCTAATAGCTTTTGAGACTATTGAAGAATGGGATTTGATTAACCAGTATCTGTATACGAATGGGATAGATGATTTGTACTGGACATCGGGTGCGGACTTTGCGCAGAAGGTAAAGCATGATTGGTTTTCAACAGGTGAACCCATATCATTAGATATTTGGGCTCCGGGGGAACCAAATAATGGCGGTGGAGTGGAGCATTGCGACGAGTTGGGGTACAAAGCCACACCAACAAATTACAATGGTTTGAATGACAGAATTTGCGAAGTTAAAAGACGTTACATATGTGAAAGATTATATCCAAAAACAGCCTCATTTGTTATCTGGGAATAAATAATACAAAAAATTATGAACAAAAATAACAGCAGTGTATTCTTATACTCCTAAGGTATTATTAATAAGGGCATATTTTATGGTTTTAAAATTTTATTTTGAGTTTGTGTTTAAATTTTGAAAAGAATAGCTGTATTTTATGTTGAGTACCCAATAAACCCAATAAACTCGCGATGAAAATTATTTATTTTTAAAAACTTATCGGCTTACCTATTAAAAAACATTGATATCCCTTTAACATTTACTCAAGGCATAAAATAAAACCAAGTCCAGAAACTCTTCGCTACCAGTTACAAAATTAACCTAACCAAATTTAAAATCAAGCTCCTCAGTCCGCAAGCTTCATCAAGGATACATGCAATCCTCTATGTCAGAATAAAAATAAGAAAAACTGAGGAAAAAACAACAAAACTTTAGGCCATAAAAATGCAATAAGTGTATCAAGTCTTGGAAACCCTTTTTGGCTAATGGCAATTTACGCACGACTAACAAACACCAGAGGAAACCTGGGAAAAGGGCTGGGGAAAGTCGGGAAAGCCTGCCAACCATATGCGAAGTAACGAAATCGGAGGCGGAGAAACGACAACTTTGATTGAGTGCCGGGGAAACTGAAGGCAAAGGTGTTAAAACTGAAACCAATTTAAAAAGTTGTACGAAACCATATGGAAAGTGAGCCTGGGAAGAGGCAACTTTTAGATAGCTGTGTGTGTACTGGAAAGAATCACAGAACATTTTTTGTGTTATAAAAGAAAAATTTAATGGATTTTAAATATATGAAAAGTTTTAAAAATTCAAAGTTAAAATTCTAAAAAATATATATGGTTATTATAGATGATAAATTAAAATGATTGAATTAATAATACAATTATTTTAGAAATATCTACATTTTATTTGAACACCACAGTTTTTATTTAACCTTTTCTTTTAGTGTAGACACAAGTAGGCAGTCAATTACTGACAAACAACCAACCCAAGCACACAGCGCTGCACACACCTGAATATTTTCAGTGCCAGGTGACAAGACATCGACGAAGACAGCGACACGAACTGGGAAAGGACCAAGGATGAACCTGAGTTCCATCCTGAGGAGTGTGAGCAAAGGTCTAGGCCTCGGGGTAGCCGCAAAGAAAAAGGACTCGGATCGTCCACTATCCACTTCCCATCAGGATTCCAACTCGGTCGCCACATCCTCTTCGAGTTGCCTTTCCAAGAACTCTGACTTAGATCCTGTTTCCAGTCTTCTGATTCCCTCGGAGGACGAAGAGGACCCCACTCCCGGCGAAAATCGTTTGGCTTCGGCTGCGGCAAACCTGAGTAAAAATCAGAATCCCTACCAACAGACCATTCAACAGATCCTGCAACTGGTGAACGAGCTGGAGCACACAATTTACGAGGATCGGCAGCAGGAGTTCAAGCTACGAATGGCCCTGGATCGGCAAACGGAACGGGTTCAGGAATTGGTATTCTCCCTCGATAAGGAGAAGAAGCGAAACGGGCGACTGGCCCAGCTGCTCCGGGGAATCGATACTTCCAGTGACGCGGAAAGCGATCCGGAGGAGAAGGTCATCAGCGGATCCCACAGGAATGTAAAATCTATCGGGGACTTGTACGATTCCATCAGTCCCCTGCTCATGCAACAGCGGTAAGTTTTGGGCGTAGTAGAACTTATTAATAATTGAAATATAAATAAAATATTTTGTAATGAATAATTTGGGTGAATGCAATAACGCCCGGTGAAATAACGCCCATGTTACTTTTACATTTGTTAAATAACCCAATATTTAAATTAGAGTTATGGATAAGATTTTACTTATCCTCTCTAAAAAAACGTCTGTTTGCAATCCAATCTGTTTTGCCGAAATATTTTGATATTTAAACAATAATGTAATAATGATGAGCTGAAAGTGGGTTTATTTTAGACTATAGAGCATAAAGCCTTAACCTTTTTTAATATTAGTAGTGAGATTATATATTTTCGATTTTTAATACAAGTATTTTTTACTTTATTCCAACTATATCCTGCAGCTACGATGAGCTCTCGATATCCCATCGTCAGAGTCGCCGGCAGTTGGCAAAGAAGGAAAAAGCTCTTAAGGTCCTGAAATGCGAAACGGAACAGTTGCACTCCAAATACGATGAGCTATTCGATGAATATCGAGGTGAACAGCGTCGTTTTGAGGTACTGTGTGCTCGATATATCCAGATGCAGTTGAAGAGGAAGCAGCAAATCTTCAATCTGAAGAATACACTCGGTCAAGCCAGTGAGTGTATTTACCACGCCCAGGTGGCCATCGATGAGTGTTGTCAACGGGAGAAGTCGCCCATTTCGCCAGAGAATCTGCTCAACTTCCACAAAAATCTAGAGTGCTTCATGGATGCCCTTAGAAACTGCTGCTGCCTGCGAAAAGTCCACGAGCTTCAGCAACAACAGCTCGAGAAAGAAAATGGGGAAAAGAACCAAACCGATGATGTAGTGACCCCAAAGGCCAAGGAACCCTCCATCGCCAGTAGCGAAACCTACGTTCGGAATTCCCGTTCCTCCAGTCGAAACGCCACATCCGTCGTTACAGACATTCAATTCGTTAAACCTTTACTTGTAGTTACTCCTTAGCATTTGGTTAATTGTGAAATTATTTTTCCCATTGAAAATTGCTTCATTTAGCAAATGAAAAGTGTAAAAAAAGCCAAAAATATGTTATCACAAAAATAAAATCTAAATAAAACCCTTTGATTTTTTATTCAACCTGCGGGAAAACTAATTGTAATGTGTATAATTATTATGCAAATGCATTAATCTGTTGATTGATCTGTTAATGGAAAAAACATATTGAAAAATGTATTTCTTAAGGAATGTTATATTAAAAATTATTATTTAAAACTGTTGCCAATGGATCTTATGAGAGTTATTACAAAAATTCTCAGATTCTGCGGTCAAAGTAATAGTAGTTCCACCTCCCTTCACCTTTGTTGTTGCAATTTATCTTATCCAATTCGTCCAACCGTAAAAGTAAAATCAACTATTACAAACGACTTGAAATATTATTCATGTTTTTCAGACACCAGTTGCCCAGAACATTTCTGTCCAATCTGATGTTTGGATTTAGCTTTGTCTCAGTAACGTATTCCTTGGACTGGATCGATACTCTGATATTTATGTATCTTTAAAATGTCGACACAAAGGAATAGAAGCTTGTCAGCGGGTAAAGACGCGCCTCGAGTATCCGCGATCAGCGGAGATAGCCGATCCGAAGGAGCCGATAGTGAGTCCGAAGATGAACTCGAGCCTGGTAACGAAGTAAAGCCGGCGGCAGATGTTACCATCTATAACTCGTATAATATGGGACCGGCTTTTGGCAAGAAGTTCCCATTGCCGTACATTCGCTTTATGATGTCCCAAGTGGTCCGCGAGAAGCTGGGCAACAAGAACTACAATCAATCGGAAGCCTTGAAGTGGACCCGCGATGTCGCCGACGAAATAAACCTAAGGATGAAGGGCCGTGGATCCTGTCCGAGATTCAAGCACGTGGTGAACGTAATGCTATATCAGCAGACCGGAGCAGGGTGTTTCTACGGGGCCCGTGCCATTTGGGATGAGCTATCCGATGATTATGTGAGCTATACCTACGATGGTGGCAGTTTTATTTGCATTTCCGCCGTTTTCGGTTGCTATCAGTATTGAGTTAAATAACTGATCAATAAAGAAATTTTACAGTCTATTTTTATTCGCTACCATTAACAAGGGAACTAACTAAAGAGAACTGTCGTCGTATAGAAATTTAATATCGTTATAGTTACGATTTTGGCTTACTCTTTAGTCGGAAGTCAACCCAAGAGAGTTTATTCTTTTTGATACATATATGTTTAAGTACCATACAGATACTAGTTTAATTGTAGGTACTATAAAAGGGAAATAAATAAAGAGAACTATAATTCTTCCTGAATTTATTACTTTAAGAATAATAGGTAATCATTAGATAAGTGTATGCAAATATGGACTTGATTGTTTTTATCTTTACAGCGTAAAATAAACCCTTTCTTAGATAACTTTTTAAATCGTATGGGGTATAAAACGCAGCAAGTCAGTGGTGCTAAAATCAGTAATCGCAAAATGTTCGTTCATTGCACTTTACTATGGGCAATACTGGCGCTCATTTCGCTCGCAGGAGCGACACCAATTGAAGATGGTAATACTGTTTATATTAATTAAAAATAATAATGATAATAATATAAAATTCCTGCATTTATTTATTTTTTAGAAATAATAGAACCCGTGCAACTTTCATCAGTTCCATTTGTTAAAATCGGCCAAGGTTATTACTACATTGAAACCAACACGAAAAAGAATTGGTATGATGCATCCGAATCGTGTCGTCGAATAGACTCCCATCTTATATCTTTTGAGACCCTTGAGGAATGGGATTTGGTAAATCAATATCTTTATAAGAAGGGAATAGATGACGTATACTGGACCTCTGGTTCCGATTTGGGTCATCAGAGAAGGCATCATTGGTTTTCTACCGGTGAGCCCTTAGCGTTGAATATTTGGTATCCAGGAGAGCCAAATAATTATAATGGAATTGAGCATTGTGACTTGTTGGGCGATCGCAGGACTCGCACGAACTACAATGTTTTGAATGATCAGGACTGCGAGTATCAAGTCCTTTACATTTGCGAAAAACCTATTCCCCAGATTATCTGTTAAACATTAAAAACAATAATCATACAAAATATATTGATATCTATAAAAGAATATTTTAACCTCTTGTTCAATAAAAACAATTTTATTTAAACCGTTGTCTTTATTTATAGTAACTTTTAGGACTTACTTGCAGTCCCTGCTACAGTTTAAAATTTTTATAAACGCTTAAAAATAATACAATTAGTGAAGTAGTATATTTATAATCCACAAAAAATTACAAGGAGAAAATAAGTTACAACAGTAAACTTTTAATAACGAGCGGTATGATGTATGTAATGTTTTGTTGCTCTATTTATATCTTAATATTATTTTAAAATGCTTTGACAGCAAAAGTAACAAAGAATCCGTTTGCCCGTAATACCCTCCAAAAAAGTGAATATCACTGCATTTTTCCAGTTATGAGGTCCTTTTTCAACTGTTTCAGTTGGGTATTTGAAGCGAATACAATTTTATTGCTTCCTTCGAGGTAATTAAGAAATGAATTAATTTTGTACCACAGTGCTATATAAAACTCATTCCCATTTCAATGGCCATTTCTAACGGTTCTCTTTTTGCCGCATAAATTTTGAATTTCAGTGCTGCCAGAAAGTTATAAGAACAGTGTAACCACACGCAAAACGTGTAGCAATCAGCTGACGGCCGTTGGTATGGCAACGCTGCAAGTGCACATGTTGTTTATGTTCTTATTCCACGCATAATTTTTATTTTACGCCGCAAGAAAGTTCAATAAATGCTGCCAGGATGAAGGTGAAAATGATCAGTCGCAATCCGGATAACTATGTGCGGGAGACCAAGCTGCAGCAGCACAAAAGTGAGTAAACAAAAGTTCGAAGATGGCGATTTAAATGGAACTCTCTTTTCAGTGCCCCGTAACTACGATCCTTCGCTGCATCCTTTGGAGGGTCCTCGGGAATATGTGCGTGCCCTGAATGCCACCAAATTGGACCGTGTGTTTGCCAAGCCCTTTGTCTGCAATTTAAGCGGTCACCGCGACGGAGTCTCGTGCTTCGGGAAGCATCCCAAGCAGCTTTCCAGTTTGGCCACCGGCGCCTACGACGGCGAGGTGCGCATTTGGGACCTGGCCAATCGCACCAGTTCCCGGAACTTTGTGGCCCACGATGGCTATGTGAGGGGCATCGCGTACACCCAGGACGGCAGTCGCCTCTTCACCGTGGGCGATGACAAGACCATCAAGGTGTGGCGCGCCGAGGCCCCGGAAGTGGGCGAGGATGAGGAGCCCATTAACACCATTCTAAGCAAATTTGGCCTCCACGGCATCTCGCACAATCGCAAGGATAACAAGTTCGCCACCTGCGGCGAGGTGTGCGCCATTTGGGACGAGAAGCACAACGATCCGCTAAAGACTCTCAAGTGGGGCGTCGATACCCTGCACACCATTTCCTACAATCCCGTGGAGACGAGCATCCTGGCCTGCTGTGCCAGCGATCGCAGCATTATCCTCTATGACCAGAGGGAGGCGCAGCCGCTCAGGAAGGTCGTCCTCACCATGAAGAGCAACAAGTTGGCCTGGAATCCCATGGAGGCGTTCAATTTCACAGTGGCCAACGAGGATTGCAAGTGAGTAAAGGGGAGCTTTAAAGGATTTAGGGTGCATTTTAAGATATACACCTGACTGGGATTTGTATTCAGGGTTTTGCCAGTGTTGCTTTAAGCTGAAAATGAAAAGAAATAGTTTTTATTTTATAATTTATAGAGCCCTGCGTTAATCATTCAATTTCATATTTCTGAATTGTTTAATTCAATTTTATGTGAAATAAATTGAATGTTTTTCTAATTCATTTCAAATTGAATAAATCAGTGAATAATTTTTATGAATTGTTTAAATTTGCGCTTTCTTTTGAGATCAAAAAGTGGAACATTTTTACAAATCAATGTTAACTGCTTAGTAAATAAAATTCAGGCATATTTAATTGCAAAATTATGGCCCTTTCTTCTTTAAAATAAATTGTCGTTCGAATTATTCCGGAATTCATGCCATTCATTCATTCAATTCTATTAAACTCAAAATTCAAATTCATTAAATTCTATTAAACTCAAAGTTCTAATTAATCCATTCATGTAAAACAAAAAATTCAAAATAATTCATTGAATCTATAATTTTAGGGTTTTCGGTTATTTAAAGCCCCAATAAGATTATTAAATCTTTTAAAAAACAAATAAAATTAATCATAGCACTGACATCTGTATAGTATTTTATATCAATTTTTCATTGTTAATCTTATTTTACTTTGCCTTAATCCTCATTATCAATTCCAGCCTCTACACCTTCGACACCCGCAAGCTGGATACGCCCCTGAAGGTTCACTTTGACCACGTTTCCGCCGTCACCGATGTGGACTACTCGCCCACGGGCAAGGAATTCGTCTCGGCCAGCTACGACAAGACTGTCCGCATTTACAACGCCCACCATAGCCACTCGCGGGACATTTACCACACCAAGCGAATGCAGCACGTGGTCTGTGTGGCCTGGTCGCTGGATAATCGATACGTCTTCTCCGGCTCCGATGAGATGAACGTGCGCATGTGGAAGGCAAAGGCCTCCGAAAAGCTGGGCGTCATTCGTCCCCGTGAGCGGGTCAACTTCAATTACCAGGAGGCACTGAAGCAAAAGTATGCCGCTCATCCGCAGATCAAGCGAATTGCACGCCATCGCCAGGTGCCGCGTCACGTGATGAATGCACAGAAAAAGATGCGCACGGTCAAGGAGAAGGAGCAGGTCAAGGAGGCCAATGTGCGCAAGCACTCCAAGAAGGGCAAGGTGCCGTTTGTCAGCGAGAAAAAGAAGCATGTGCTGAAGGAGGAGGTCTAGAGGCGATTGTTTGCGACACTAGTTGGATAAGTTTGAATAAAATTGATTTTTGTAAGGCCATAAGATGTAAATGCATTGTTTTTCAAGGAGCAATCTGTTGAGGTGTAAAAGATGTAGAAAATGTTTGGAGGTATTCGATGAATTTTAAGAACGACTTTTCTAATATTAATATTAATATTATTGAAAATATTTTGCATTAATCTTTATTTGAGATTTTTATTTTAAAAGACCTACTGAGATTTGTACAAGTTTTAAATAACAATTTAACTAGTTTTTATGCACTTTATAGATATCAGAAAATACCAGTTCACTTGCTTTCCAGATTTGTTAAAATGGACAAGAGTAAAAAGAACGTTATTTTTGACATTTAAAACAAAATATCACAGAAGTCTTTTTAAAATAAAAATCTCAAATAACGATTATAATATTTTAAAAATAAAACATAAATCTTATTTAACAGGGCTTCTATTCTTTAAAAATATTATAATGCCTGTTAAATTAGAAATGGTTTGCATTTTAGCATTAAAATTAAAGTTTCTCCAAACATTGGTCTCACTTAACAGTGCTTCTAATTTTTAAAATTATTATTTATTAGTTATAATTTACACTGCTGATAATTTTAGAAGAGAGCAAAGGCCCTAGGCAAATTCTTTAAACATGCTTTATATGCTGACAAGCAAAGTGACCCAGCAAATAGATAGAAACCGCACTTGTTTGCCCTGCTGTAAAGTTTCACAGAAGTTCGAAATATGATTCGGATCCGATAAGCCCCCGCCAAGCGATAACGATGGGGAAAATCGGTGCGACGTGTACATTTCTAGGCGATTTTCGATTATAAAAGGTTGCCAGCCCCACAGTTGGGGCTCAGTATTTGTTCGTGTTGTTTGGCAGCCGCCAGTCGGTCGTTAGTTTTTGTTTTCGTTGTTCATTTGTTTATACTCTCGCGGCACTCGGCCCCTCCCGTCCCCACAGAACCCGTTTGAAAAGGCAAATTCGACCTATAGAAATTATGGAGGCACTGGGAGATATATTGGCGCCTTACAGCGAACTAATCGCCAAGGTAGCCGGCACAATTACTACCCTGCAATTTCTGTCCGGAGTGGCGCTGATGAACGACATCCGGAAGAAGGGTAGCAGCGATGTCTATCCCGTGGGTCCATTTCTCGGCGGAGTGGTGCTGTAAGTTCTCATTTCTCAGTGGAGATTCCGATTCCGTGATGCTCCACTGCATATGGGTGGCGGAATAAAAAAGTGAAAAAGTGAACGCATCTGTGTGGGAATTGATTAAATTTTTGAACTGTCGCCATGACACTACAGAATCGGCTCTTTTCAAGGCCGCCACTAAATCGGTTTTGCACTCGATTCAATAAGATAGCAAATAACAATGGAATCGGTTACATCACTCGATGGTGAAAAAGAAACCCACTTCGATCATCTTCGGCCGTTACAATTCGAAATATGTAGTTGGGATTTCGTTAACCTTGTCGTCACGTCAATCTTTTGGCTTTCTTATCGATGCGAGGCCTCGACAAACACGTAGTTCTTATCTGGAGTGTATTTTTTTAGAGCCTCGTATTACAAATGCTGATCCGGTATGGTATTGTATAGTATATCTGTCCAAATGTGGGGGAGCCGCTAATCGTTTATGAGACAAACGAAAGATAGGCGCCTTGCCTTCTCCACGTGCTCGGAATAATGGGGGTGTCCCATTCCTCGGACGCTTCCCAGTGATGGGAAATCTAGGTAGCTGTACCTAAGTATAAACTATAATCTTCTATAATTATCATTTTACAATGTCTGAATTTTACTTAGTGTAATAACAGGCTTTGAATAATATAATTTACAAAGAAAATTTTAACTTTAACCAATTATATAGGATGTTTAATATATATATACAAAAAAATAGAAATATATATCATTAGTCAGGAACATAAATACATATCTTATCAATAATATTAATGAGAATTTACTACTTGCCTTTGATAATATTTATTAATGATAATTTTCCACTAGTCATGAGTAATATTTATTTTTGTTTGTTCATATTTTACTTTTTCTGATCAAAATGTTAAAACATTTCACTCATGATTTACCACTGATGATTTTATTTTTAAAGTCTCAACTCATTTAGCTATTTGCAACTGCATACATATGTTTTAAAAGGAAAAATTTCCATTGCTTACTTAAAAAGCTAAGAATTACATACGTTTTAAAGGGAAAAATTTCCATTGTTTACTTAAAAAGCTAAAAATTACATACGTTTTAAGGGGTAAAATTTCCATTGTTTACTCAAAAAGCTAAAAATATAAAAATAATATTGGAAATAATAAATTTCCTTTTGTGTCCTGGCAGGCTAAATCAAATAGTACCTGTGCCATCACTGATGGGCATTTAGGGGGTGGTTTCCGGAAGGTGTTAACTTGGACTGTGTCAAGTGTAAGGACCCGCAGTCATGCAAGAGAAGCAACAGTTGTATGCTAAATGAATTCCATTCCAAACAAGGTGTAGGTCAAGGTCAATTTCGCGGGCAGTTTGCGTTTAATTTCACACAACACGAATGTATTTCACCATTGTAGTGGGCTTGTGATAAGTTGATCGATGGTATCGCTGATTATTTGTTTTCCTGCGTGCTTAACTCCTTATCAATAAGTACGTGTACCTCGATTTGCAAATCACTATTATGTTTATATATCTATATCTAGGGAGCATTACACATTGATAACGTAGTAATAAGTATAAACTGGTTTTTCCAATGACCCGGTAGAAGAAAATGTTAATTTTAATGGGGTCTGTTGCGCACTCAAAATGAAAACTTGTTCCATTTCTTTTTACAGAAACTTTCTGAAATTATTTCTTAGATGAAAAACTGGTTTCCTCCTTCAGGAATGTGAATAAATTACCCATTTTTATGGAAAAGTTCTAGTTTACAAATGCATTGGAATTTAACAGAGTAAAGTCAGTTTTGAATCAGTTTGTCAGTTTGTTAAATCTAAAGTACGCTTTAAACTCAGTGTTTAAGCCTGTTTAAAATTTAACATAATGTTGAAAACGGGCCTATATAGAAAAAAATTATTAACAAAATTTACAACTTTTAGGAAATGCACTTAAAACTAGAAAATACATTTTCAGTTCTGTGAAAATTTGCACTTGCCTGAAAGAAAGTATTTTTTACAAATTGATGACTAGACATCGGATTATATGTTTTTCTTCATTTTTGCTTCAAATACCGCCAAATTTTGGATTTAGGCACTATATTAAATTGGTATTCGAATGACGACGACATATCGCAAATATGCATTTTTTTATGCAATGGAATATGCAAAATATGTCGAGAATATGCAAAATATGTCGAGAATATGTAAAATATGTCGAGAATATGCAAAATATGTCGAATATGTTTCTGTCTCTTACAGGCACATATATTTCGAGCTTAATGGTAAAAATGTTTAAAATGTATTTCTGTAGCTGACAGAAGGGGTATACATAAAAATAGCTACAATTGCACCACCGTATCTTAAGAAAATCGGTTTCAAAAATAGTGTTAGTTTGTGAACATTTTCATCAAACTACTGCTTATTTCTATAATTTAAAAAGTTGGACCAATCAATATAATTTTTGAAAACTGTACCCGCCACATTAGCCGATCCACAGGGAAATTAAAAGTGCAAAGCCCCAATTCGGCTGGAATTGGCTTTAAACAAAAAAAAAATTGTTGAAACCACACGCAACAAATTTATATATTCGCCATTACACCAAAAAAATCAGAAAAAATACGTATTTAATATGAGTGTATTTAGTGCTTTGGGGATCACGCTAGTCAATAGTTAGGATGTCAAAGTACATTTTAGTTGTAATTTTGTTTACAATATGTGACCAAAATTTTTTCTATATTTTCAACAGTTAATTTTGTTCTTTTGTCTGTGAGTAAAAGCTTGAATGCGGAAAAGCTTCTTTCAACATCGCACGACGTCAATGGAGCATATTTATATTTATAGACTTTTTCCATGTTTAAATCGTCAATCGAATTCATTCCATCTATGCTGTTAATTGAGTCATTCAGTTTTTCAATCGTTTTAATGTCCGGGCTTTTCAATAGTACATCCTTTAATTTTTTCTTTAATATATCTCCCAAGCTTTCTGGAACGTCATTTATCATTTCTTGAGCTTTGCTCAGCAGAACCATATTTTGCTTCAGAGAATTGGACCCTTTTTCTAAATTTTCAATTATTGACGGCATGGTGCAAAAGTAATTCTGAATAGTTAGGAGTTCCCTTTTTACAGTTAAGTCCTTTAGTTGCTCCTAAACATTTTGAATAGCTTGAGCATCGTCGCTTCCTAGAGAATTTACAACCTATAAATATATTTAGTAAATAGTTACTGTCAATAAATAAGAATAACCTACACGATTGATTCCATTAAAATTTGTAGCATGAAAGCATGCAGCCTCAATCCAAGTTCCCCATCTCGTTATTATTGGCTCCGGCGGTAATTCAATATCTAGCATCAATTTGTATTGGGCGCAACGGTGGGGAGATTTCAGAAATATTTTTTTAACGTCCGATATGTATTTGTTGACTTTTGGGAAATGTCCTCGAATAGTTTCTGCGACCCGATGCAATCCGTGGGCCAAGCAAGTCACATGTATCATGTTGGGATAAAATACCTTCAAGTTTTGACCAGCCTTTATCATATAAGCAGCTGCGTCTGTAACCATGAGCAGTACATTTTCTTCATTTAGGTCTGGCCATAGAGATCTCAATCCATTGTTTACAAATCTAGAAATTGTACTGTTGTTGACTTTTTCTATTTGACGACAAGAAATCAAATATGGACGCGTTGACTTCTTCTCATCCAGTGATCCAGTTATTAAATTTGCTATATAACGTCCATTCCTGTCGGTTGTCTCGTCTACTGATATCCAAATTGAAATGATTTTTTGAATACTTAAACATTCTGACAAAAGCCTGCTTTGATAATATGTCGTAAAATATGTTGGATATGTTCTTGATATGCAAGATATGTCGAATATGCAAAAACAACATGGCCTTAATCTTATTATTTTAACGTGAAACGAATTTCAGTCCAATCGAAATTTGATTTCGACAAGCCGTTAAAAATATGATTTTGCATATAATCCGATGTCTATTGATGACAGTGAATTATTTTTAATTTAAATTTATATTTAAATAATACCTAAAATTAAATAATTTTCCTATTCCAGGACCGTGCTCAGCTTAAAGCTGGCCAACATTATGAACGATGCTGCCATGATCAACACCAATTTAATTGGCCTGGTCATCAACTTCGCCTTCCTGTTCGGATTTTACTACTACGCCTCGAGCGGCAGCAGGAGCAAGATCTGGAAGCAGGTCGGCTACTCCTCGGTCTTCCTGTTGGTCGTCACGGCGTATGCCAACTTTGAGGATCCCACCAAGATCGAGTTCCGCCTGGGAATGCTGATCACCGGCATCCTGGTTTACTTGGTGGGTTCTCCACTCCTGCATCTGCCGAAAATCATTGAGAAGAAGAGCACCGAGGGTATGCCGTTCCCAATTATCTTCGCTGGTAATCTGGTGGCCGCTTCCTGGATGTTGTACGCAATCTCCATCAAAAATACTGTGATGGTGGTAAGTTGAGAACTAATCAATTATTTAAATTCCTTATTTTCACTATTGTAATCTTGAATTTCAGCTCCAGAATCTTTTGCTGCTGGTCTTGGGTGGCATTCAGCTCTCCATGTTCGCCATTTATCCCAACAAGCCAGCTGCTAAGAAGCCGAAGGACAGCAAGAAGGACAAATAATTGAAATCGATCGCTTTACCTAGAAAAATGGACAAATAATGGGTTGTTGCAACAACATTACCAATTAACATGTAGTTAGGCTCGAGGAATAATCAAATTATTGCTTGAATTTACACTAAATCGCCACAAACAAACTAAATTTGAGCTAGACAAATTATTTTTCTATATAAGAAATATTTTCTTAGAACAAATCCAGCTAACTAAGTTGCTAGCTAACCTAGAGTTGTTATTATATTGACTATTATTGTATATAACTATTACATACTTGCAATTTTTGACAATAATTCAAATCTTCCAAAATGCATACGTATTTATAAAGTCAACATAAAGTGTAATAACAAAAAAATGTTACAAAATCGAGCGAGTTTCGGTTGTCATTGGGTTTAGATTCCCTTTTTAGGCTACTGGCACTGTGGAGTTGTAGTGGGCGCCCAGTTGGTAAATGTGTCGGTGGTAGCAGATGACCAGCGGCGATCCACCGAATTCCTCCTGTCCCAAAAGCGTAGGCGCTCCCTCCGCTTGGACAACTTCAATGGGCACCCGGAGGAGCGATGATATGGCCTTTAGTTCAATGTGGCCGCCCCAGGCGTGAGTTTTGGCTATATCCTGGCAGTACTTTTCGAACTGCTGGTCGTTGAGGAGATCCCCTGTTTCCGGGTGAACCATGTAGCAGATGAGCGAGTCCTTGTGGGCGCGCACATAGTTGGCCGTCTCCTCACGCAATTCCTGAACACTGTGGCCTGAAAGATGATAGTTAAGATTAGATATTAGAGATATTAGATAGGTGAATAATGTTTAACCTGGCAGCGAATTTACAAGGAGTTGGTGCCTGATGGACTGATACAAACAGTCGCCATCGGAGGCTATATTGTGTAGGGATAGCTGGCGTTGGGATAGCTTCGCTGTGATCTGCTGGAGTTCGATTAATTTGGGAGACGGCTGATTGGCCGCATTTTGGAGCTCCGTTTTGATCTCAGCCTCGCGGGCACGGGCCTCCTTGGCTTTCTTGTCCCGTCGTTTCTGCGCCTTGGACACGCGCTGATTGGAGGACACCTGGTCCTCCTCCTCCTCATCCTTTTCCTCGCCTTCCTCCTCTTTTGGCACTGCGTTTTCTGGCTTTTCCGCTGGCTTCTTGACTTCCGTTTCCTCTGGAGCGTCCTTGGCCTCCGCCGCCTGCAATTCCGCCTTGTGACGCTGCTCCAGTTCCCCTTCTAAGCGGGCCATCTCCTCCAGAAACTCTTTCCTCTTGTTCTTGTTGTTTTTCGGGGCGTTCTTCTTCAATGACTGCAGTTTCGCCTGCAGCTCCTTGCGCTCACGGCGATGCCGGGCGCCTATGTCCTCTAGAGTTGCGTCCTCCAGACGGGATTCCAGCTCCCCAATTCCCTCATCTTCGCTTGCCATTTCAATTTATTTAATAATTTACAAAAAAACAATGCTCAGACAAAAAATTAGCCCTATTTTCTTCTCTTTTAGTATTTAGTATTTTTAGTATATAAACATCGAAGAACGATAGGTTTGATAAATACCGATTCTTGAAATCGATTAAATTTTAAAAATACCAATGACAGTGTGGCCGCATCACGACCGTTATATATACCATCCACTTTTTAAATTTATTTTACAATTCATTAAACAAATAAAAACATTAAATCAGTCGAATTTTTCCAGCTATTTACAGAGCAAAAGCTTCGTTTTTAGTTACCCAAGCTGGTTCTTATTTTTTATTTGTAGATAATTACAAAACAGATATTGTCAATGCTTATTACTACCCATACAAACGCTTTTTTATGAATATTATTTTACAACTTAAATAGTCCATGAGTAAGATCGAAATCAAAAGCCATGACAAAATCATCTGATAATAATAAAACTATTTACAGCTAGTGCTCCCAATTAAAACATAAATGATCTGCAACATGCTAAATTTTTTATTTATGCTAAACATAAAACGATCTAGAATGAGAAACTAAATACATGCAATGCCATTGGTGAGAAATCGGATCAACCAATTCCTACGTCGGATATTCCTAAGTCTTAACTAGAGTTCACAAAATAAAATCCAATTTTTTGTTTCATTATATATACAGGCAATTATTTTGAATTAATTAGCAATTACGAAAACAAAGTGAAACCAAAATAGATTGCTAAATTTCATGTCAATTTGCACCTCATCGTTTTATACAATTCACAAGAGTGTTGATTTTAAAAACTGGCAAGCAGGCCAGATAATATTTTTCTTACAACTCTATAACACATGCTTAAGTGCAAATCAGAAATCGTAGTATTTACATTGGCCAACGTCGGCGACTCTCAATTTACTTCATTTACACACTTGCGAAACAAGAAGAAACTAAGCCAAGACTTCCTAACCACTAACATCCAAAGTGATATTTACTTAGGCACTAACCGAAAACTACACAAGAGTCTCGTCGTCTCCTCTACAGATATTTGCATCTATCTAGTGTGATTCTGCCCATGTCCAGTCGAACGTACAAGTACAAAAGGAAGCACTGGCTAGCTAGGAATTTCCAAAGGACATTTTTTTCCGACCCTTCTTAGAGGCTCTTGGTGATGTTCTGGAAAAGGCGACGGCCCCACCACGACTCCAGGTCGAAGGGCTTGAAGTCCTGCAGCGCCGGACTCGCCGGCTCCACCCAAACGGTGGCTGTCGAGGATGCGGGCACCGGTGTGTTGGCCATGATGCTCTCCACGGGACTGGCGGCGCTGTTGTTATTCGCATCTGCCTGCGGTTTCTCGGCGGGCTTGGCGGATGAGCTTGAATCGTAGGGATTCTGCGCCACTAGCATGTTCCAGGCTGTTTAAATAAGAATATATAACTAAGTTAGAAACAAATAAACCAAGAATTTTTTAAATCATATTCTTCATAACTCGATAGAAAGTAAGTTTATTTAAAAATATAATTTCTTTAGTATAAAAATTTCAACAAAGTGTTAATTGTGAGAAATATTTATTAATAATATATAACTCGATAGGAAGTAAATTTATTTATTTTTATATTTATTTATTTAGTCTCTTTAAGTAGTATAAAATGTCAACAAAGTGTTGATTGTAAGAAATGTTTATAATTACTCGGAAACTACAATTTTTTAGCAAACATATTAGTGTAATATTTTATTTTATATTCTTATCTTTCGAGTTAGAGATTTAAAATGATAATGCTCAGACTTACAGTCATTTATGTAACGTATAATTTCCTCATGCTGCGGCGTTATCACCTCATCCTCGATCAGTTTGGTCGGCGTTATCCGTTTGGATGCGAAGCTCTGTTGAAACACCGGTCGCGGTATGCTGTTTTCAAAATATATAAAAGGGATATCAGATTTTAGAAACAATGCCCCTGAATTTTAACGACAGCGCACTTATGCAAACCACACAGCTCTCCTCAAACATGTGGACTTTGAAAATAAATCACTTGAGGAAAGTGAGGCGGAGGTGGGGGAATCTGGGTTCGACAACTTGTTACTCAGTTCGAGGAACGTTAAATGCATTTAAATTCGAAAAAGGTGGCAGTGCATTACATTCCGTGAAAGAATTACGGAAATATATGATTTCGTCAAGGAAATAGCTAGTCAATGTAATGCAAGATAAATGTTTTTATTTGTTATACTAGTCGTAATATTTTTAATAAAAAAATTTAATATTTATAAAATTTATAAAAGCTATAGATTGTAATATATTTTTAGAAATAAATGAACAACACTGTTATTGAAAGTGGAATGGCTTTGAGTACTGATAAGCTATCTAAGGGGAGATAATTAATAGTACCCATCTATTGGTTGACAACAATTTTGAATGTAAAATTTTGGAAAAGTATTCGCTCATAGGGTATTTATACCCTAGCATGGCCCTAAAGATCTGCTCATCTTCAATAAAAGATGTGATGTAATTCTTGAGGAAAAATTAAGATTAAGCATATTATAAAAAGCAAAAACTACAACACTGTTTAGTAGAACAGATGACTTAAGAGCCATAAAAGTTACATTTAATATTTTTTATAAACTGCTTTTAATTAAAACAATAATGCCGGGGTAAAAAATGTATCTATAAATCTGAATACAAATAGACAACGTTTTAGTGATTGTTTTTACATAGCCCCTTTAGTTGAGAATACCCGAGAAGTTTCGTTGAAGTCGTGACGTAACGGACGTGGAAAAGTCAATGCCTCCGGGGCATTTAAATTAAAATGGAGCCGATAACCGACGCCTGACCCACGTGTTCCCCCGGTCTCCTAGGGAGAATAGGAATATTTGCTTGGGAGCAATTAGCATTACAGTGCTAGGTCGCCACGGATTCTTTTCTTGCGATAAAATGTCAGCGATAAGACGAGGGTTTCGAACCCCCATCCACTCACTTTTCCCGCTTTCCACATTTTCACCATGTGCTGTCTGTTTGCATAAGCACCCAAGATTCAAGATTCTCACTTTTTGTGCTCCTCGGGACTGTTCAGATCGAAACTGGCGTTCTTCCGGCCGCTTTCCTTGATGCTTTCGAATTTTTCAAAATTTTGTGCCAGGCCTGTGATGAAAAGAAGATGATGAAACGCTATAAAAAATGTATTTACAGTGGAAAACGCCGGCAAAACAAAAAGTTAACAGCGAAAGAGAGGGCGACGGAGAGTGGGGGCGGCGGAAGAGAGAGTGAATAAGAGTATGTTGTGACATAACAGCTGGGCGAAAAGTGCTCTCTCTTCGAAGGGTTTTGTGCCATTATTAACCATTATTATTATTATTTTGCACTCACCGCGACGCGTTTTGGCCACGATTTTGCTGGGTCCCTTGTTGATTGTGTACATGGTGGTGGAGATGGAGAATACCAGGGCAAAATATACCTTGTCCTTCCGATTTTCGTAATGTTGTTTTCGTTTCTGGCAACGAAATGTCTGGCGATGTGTGCTATGTTTTTATATTTTTTTTCCCCTCTGTGCAATCATATGATCATTGGCACACCTCCCTTCCCCGCATCACCTCCTTGCGGTCTATTGTCATCGTCTTGAAAGGTTACACAATACACTTTAGTTGGGGCAATGATTCCGAATTCCGATTCCGCGCTCTTTGATTCCCGGCAGCCGCAGCCCGTCGTATCAATTAATTTCGATTTAAATCACCGACAATTGCTCCTGGAAAGGCGAGTGTTTTATAACGTTCTGTGCGGCGGACGAAGCTCCAATGCAAGAGCTCCATTCAAATCGCATAACGAAATGTTAAGAGAAACACCCGCTAAGCGCCATATGTTAACGCGTTCATGCGGGCAAGTTCGCGAAGTTCAAAAGGTGGAGAATTAACAATGCTTAATATTGTATGCAGAACTTTTTTTTGAAAGGTATTCGTTTCTGTTACACTTTTCACATAAACATAAATATAATTCTTAACGAAATTACCAAAGATTATGCCTTTACTGATACTCAGCCATCAAACATCACGAAATCGATTTACGTATAAACTGTCCAACAGATACACGTGTATAGTCACCATCTGATTGCGACAGTGTGTACACACGCTGCAAAAGGAAAAACTATTTCCACCTGGGCGCGGAATTTCAAAGCTCTTAAAAATGATTGGAGACTACATTTAAACGATGAAGGGTTAATATGATGGATCTTTAACTTTTTTGTTTATTTGAACTGAATAATGCGATTTTTGCGTTAGACAAAATGCTGTACAAAAGTCCCTATATTACCTTCTGATGAAGTTAAAAAAAATATTAATAGGTTTTCGTTTGATTTTATTTAAAGTTATGAGTTTTAAAGGTATCTGTCTGCTTATATTGCAACCTAATATATAGAAACTTCAAAGACGTCAGAATTTTCCTGACAAATATGGAAATCATACTTCCATTTGGGGAGTTTTCACGAATCGAATCCGTGTCTATCTTACGGTCAATGTTTTAGGAGGCACTTTATGGTGGTAGACTCAGACTAAAACCCATTATCCGAAAAGTAAAAGTTTTTGCTACCTGCGCGCGTAATTTCGAACGCATTAAAAAGGGATTAGCGAGACTTTTCAGTGGAAAATTAAATTACGCGCAGGTAGAGCCATAAAAGTGACAGATGCGGAAAACGGATAAGGAGTATTTTCCGCACAGATATTTATGACAGTTCTGAAATTGCACACACATCGACTGGATATAAAGAGGGTCGGGGGGCAAAAGGAAATCAGTAGCAAGCCAGCCACGTCAAGCTTCACATTAACTTCCTGATCAACTCAGCCAGCAATCATGTCGATGATCAACGAAACCAACCAAATGTTGCAGCGCCTGAACAGCCTGAAAATTGTGGAAACCCCCAAGGAGCAACGCGAATTGGGCAGTCGGGAGTGTTACTCTCTGGACAGCAAGAAGTATGCCCTGGTACCAGCCACCCCGAGCACCGGAGGACCCGGAAAGTTCCAAACCGAACTGAAGAAACGTCGCAAAAACAAACTCAATCGAATGTACACCTACGAGGCGGACAAACACTTTATCAAGGCTCGCAAGTCTTTGAATTTCTAATCACAACACGAACCGATGTAATCACTTTAGTCATAAGCAGCATTGATTTCAAATCGTACAAGTCACATTTTTTTTCACGCTCTAATACAATAAAGATTTATAAAAAAATTTTGAATACAAAACCGTTGCGCGCCTTTTACTGGTCTACCGATATGTGGGCAACCAATTTGATTGTGGTCACACTGCTGCTGCTGCAGCTGGCAACCCTGGCGATCAGCTGTTCTTGCGGAGAGAATTTGGAGTGCGGATGCACAAAACGGCACTAAAACCCAAATAAATAGAGAATATTACACAAATTAATGTAAATACCTTTAAAATGACTGACATTACGGCAACCAGCGAGGGAAATTCGAACAGCAGCGAAGCTTTAGTGGAGCCTCAGCAGCCAACTCCAGAGTTTTTACAGCGTAAAATATATTTTTTAGTGGACCAATTGCGTACTTACCATTCCGAACTTCCTGAGTAAGTCCTCTAGCTTCTCTACTATTTAGGATTTACTGATCTTTCCTCCTTATAGAAACCTGCAGACACGTATATCCTACGATTTACTCACCGAACTCGCCAATTGCGTCCTGAATGATGGGATTTTCGTTATAGTTAAGGCACTTATGGAATTGCAACACGAAACCGAAAGGCATTTGATTAAAATGCGAATGCAGGTGGAAAATGAGTATGAAATCGAGGTGGCCGAGTGGAGGAGCAAAATCAAGGATCCCGAGGAGCTGCACCACATTTTGGGCCTGATGAAAATCAAACATACCAAAAAACTACTGGAATCGGACAAGAAGATTATTGAGATACTAGATCAGAAGGTAAAAACTCGATCTCGATATTTGTTTTACGATTGCATTCAATGGCTGAATGTTATGGTCCAATATAGATAGTAATAGATCGTAATAATATTTTATATCACGATCAAATAGCATGTTTATTGGGCTGTTCCCAAACAATAAAGTAATCCCTTTTAAATTGTATATTTCTGATAATCCGCATGTGGCAAAGCAATAATCCAAAGATAGGCTCAATTATAGTACCCATGTGTACTTTTCATATAATGTAGTGTTTATGGAACGGTGACTTTCAGTTGGCTTAGAATGGTAGGGAAATCATATACAATTTATAAGGTCATTGTGCCATAATTAGAAAGAAAATATTTACCAAAAATCCACACAATAACTTATCAACATTTCACGATATTTATACACTTATTTTTAACAAACTTCAAAAACCTGATGCCACTCAATCTTTATTACAAGTTTACTGTATATTTAAACTCTTAAATAATATCGTTTTTTGTTTACCCAGGTTAACGATCAACAATCCACACTGCAAAAGGCCGGCGTTCCCGGTTTTTATGTCACCGAGAATCCCAAGGAGATCAAAATACAAATGTTCCTGCTGGACTTCATTTTGCGTCTGAGCCGGCTGAAATACGAGCCCAACAAATAACAACTAATTATTAATCCGGAGCCCACAAAAGACTGCACTTGACTTGTTTAAATTAGAATATTTAAGGCAATTAAATTATTAACCCTGATCAAATGTCCCAGCTGTACGATCCATTGTGGGTCCAAGAAACCTGTAGCGCTGCGCAGTTTTAATCAGCGAAGAATCGTGAGAGGGAGAAAGAGACGGGGCCCCCAGAAGACGGAAGAGCGGGAGAATTGATAAAGATAGCGCTGCTCTCTCTTTTCGCGTAGAAAGCGGGAGAGGCGGCGGTATAAATTGGACCGACCTTTCTGCAGATGCATCAGTTCAGCTTTATAAATTAAAAGCGACACATTTAATAAAAAAAACTAGTGAAAACATGTCTCTGACTATTACTCCAACTGCTTCGCATCCTGAGCTCAAGGATCTGGTGAGTACATCATCTGAGGATCTGTGATCGGTGCCTCATCCTGTGACTAGTGAATTTTTTTTAATATCCTGCTGAAAAGAATTTTTTTAGTGTTTAATAAATTATTAAATATTTCCTTCTTTAAATTTTTGAAAAAGTGTCTGCCCAAGCACATTAAAATATGTTCAACGTGCTTCCATTACTTTACTATTAAATTTTAAAAATTTTAATTCGAACTGAATTACTTGGATTCACCAAATTATTAACGCAAAACGCTTAAAGTTTCTTGAACCCTCACAAGGTCGAGTGGCCAATTTCGATGTGCTTAGTCATAAAAGCGAGTTTCCGTCATCTAATGTTCAGAATAATTAAAGCTTATGTGAGCACCTTTTTGTTGGCTAGAGGAATTTGGTTTGTTTTGGCCAGGTTCAGTTGTTCAGTTGCTTCCCAACAGTTGAGCAGTTTACACATAATGTTTTCGCGACTGTTTCGTAATTTCAAGGCAAGTTTTAACAGCATACAAAGATGTATCTGAATAATTTAAACAGTGATTTAATCCGTGGCTTTTGTCAGTTATTTGTTAGACAAATATAACCCCCCTCAGGCAACGACTTTTACTTTCCTTTAAACAGTTTTTCCCATTGACCTTGATTTTGAAATTGATTTTGCAATTGCAAAGTGTGTGGGAGAAAGAGAGTCTGTTAAGTCAGCTGTTCAACAGCTGCAATTGCAATTCGAAGAGAGCCAACCCACTGAGAGATACAGAGAGAGAGTTATAAAAAGAGCGCAATGTGCATTCATTTGCTGACGACATCAGACGCGAACAAAGCCCCAAAAAATAATTCTTTAAAAAACCAAAATTCCGTCGAATAGTAAAGTTTTTAAATATATTTTTTTAAAATAAAATGCGCTGCTTGCCGGGCTACGGTTATGGCCTCACATTCTTGTTTTTGGTGTGAATGGAAGAACATAAACCCCAAAGATATTAAAAACCAGTGAACTGTTGCTCATACTCCCCTTCTGCTTCTTCTTCTTCCAGAGCACCGTTCGCAATGAACAAAAGGAACTGAGCATTTCGCCGGTTCACGATGTTAATATTACCAAAGCCACGGCCACTTTTGGTATGGGCTGCTTCTGGGGCGCTGAATCGCTATATGGAGCCACCCGAGGGGTCCTGAGAACCACCGTGGGATATGCCGGCGGCAGCTCGGATTTGCCAACGTACCGTAAAATGTAAGATTGCCGATGAAGAGCATTAATCATTCGAATCCTTTCCTTCATGTTCCATCCCCTATTATCCTTTCGGATCCCGGTACTAACCCACGACTCTCAACAGGGGCGATCATACGGAGGTCCTGGAAATCGACTATGATCCCACGGTCGTTAGCTTCAAGGAGCTGCTGGATCTGTTCTGGAACAACCATGAGTATGGTCTGACCACGCCCATCAAGAGGCAGTATGCCTCCTTGATTTTGTTCCACGACGAGGAGCAGAGGCAGGTGGCGGAGGCCTCCAAGTTGGAGGAGCAGGAGCGCCGGGCACCGGAGATCATAACCACTGAGATCGCCTCCAAGGAGAACTTTTACCCAGCCGAGGCGTACCATCAGAAGTACCGATTGCAGGGCCACAAGGACCTCGCCTCCTCGCTGAATCTCAGCCCCAAACTGCTGCAGACCAGCTACGTGGCCACCAAACTGAATGGCTATCTGGCCGGAGTCGGCGGCATCGAGCAGTTCAAGGCCGAGGTGGAGTCCATGGGTCTGACGCCCACCCAGCGGCAGTACTGCAACTACCACGTGGAGCAAAACGAGGGCCAGGGTCTCTACTGCTGACATGGTCGAATGTGCATAGACGTTAAGCGTAGATCGTACACCTAGGGGGGTAATTTAATCAATAGTTTGCTTGTTCAAAACAGATTGTGTATTATGTAGACTTAGGAAGGTATAAAATATATTTGAAAAGCGTATATATTTTATTATAATAATAAAAAATATCTCAAAGTAATGCTTATGGACTTGTTACTGTTTGTACTGGGTATTGTCGGCAAAAAGGCAATGAACTTAATTTTGGAGGAATTTTAATTCGCATAAAGATTCTGCAAATACAGAAGTGCGTCTACCTGCTAATACCTACGAGTATTACTCAACTTGATCCTCGTCATGTGCGAAAACAACAGCTGTGATAACTGGCTAAATAATCTGGGGTGATAAACAGCTTGCAAGTCATATTAAGTTCCTGTCCAGGATCCTGCCTTATCTGCCGTAAACACCCCGATAACGAATTCGCTGGCTCATCTGTTTATTCAACTTTAATGAGTTTGCATTGCTGTCAAGATCTGATCGAAGTTCTGGTGAAATTTGGATTCGTGTCTATTATAGAGTTCCAATGAATTTTTATATAATTAAAAAAGGGTCTGTTTATAATTAAAAATGTAGAAATATTAAGAAACCTTCGGGTTATTAACAGATTAAGAGAGCGAAAAATGTTTCCTCTTTTAATAAATGGCAAAACACTAAATATCTTTTATTCAAGGACATTAATGTGACTGACCTCAAGACATTCGCAATACAAATAAAGCATACGAATTTAGAATTTCATAAGTATCTGAATGAACCGTTCGAGTCCATAAATTGTTAGAACTATCAGTAGCTTAGTCTTATCTTAAACGGTGGGTAGTTTACACTTAATTTGAGGGTCTATAAATTAATGGCGGAGTGACTAGCACTAATCGATTGAAAATAGAAAGAAATGCACCTAGTCATAGGCGAAGATCTGATTAGGGGAAATGCCTCAAGAGGTTTATATATTTAGTTCATTTTATTAGATCAGCAAAGGGTAGTGCAATTTATATGCCATATAAGAACTATTTTAATTTTGAAGTTTTGAAAAATAAATTATTATGGTGAATAAATTTGATTGACTCATAGTAAGGCAAGAAACTTATTGATATTGAAAAAAAAATGATGAAAAATATAAGAACATTGAAAACACTATTTAGCTTTAAATGAATAGTTAAATAAAAAGAATGCGGGTATTTCCTTTCTTTTTTAAGCAAAGTAACTAAACTCAAAATTGGGAAGTGTTTGATATTATACCATCAGACCTTCAACCCGAATTTCGGTTTAAACGCTTTATATCACTTCTTATTAGACGAGCGCACGCATCCACTATAGATATAATAGTTCAAAGATAGAATAGAAGATACATATGGGCGGTTCTTTTACAAACCGAACACCTTTTATTGGCTCACATTTTTGATTTGCCTGAAACTTTTTTTACACGTACTATTCGGAAAATAAGTAAACACGTGTATCAGGATTTGACCGAAAAAAAATTATTTTCCTAGTTAGAATTTTTTTAAGTGTGCCAAAAATTGTCAAATTTGAAAAAGTACCCTCTCATTGAAAATCTGTATCTCCGGTTATATGAATCCAATTGACTTCATGTCTTTTGCATTAATTCCTCTAAAACCTCTCCTTTCAAAATAAAATTACTTAAAAAAAAATTTTTTTAATTTCTTAAAAATAAAAACAAAATAAGATTTAAAAAAGTTTTTTAACTATTGCCCCCACAAAAAAAAAAAATTTTTTTATTTTAATATTTGCGTCATATTGTTAGTTACAATCGGTTTTTGTAAAAAGTTGGAGCCACTTTTAGTTTTTAAAATATCGAATTTGTTTTAGCAAGGCCTCGGCTTTTTTCTATGAAAAAACGTCGCAGCAAGTAGATCTACTCTCTCACTCTTATCGGATCCTAATGGAATTTATGTTTTCTCATTGTTTACTAGTCCTTTAACAATTGTTAATGATTAAAAGTTAAGTTTTAAGTTTTTTGACAATTTCTGAATGACAAAAAGTAAAAAGTCATTTTTTAATCAATTAAAAACTTACAACTATTTATTTAACCGTCTATTTAATAAACAATAATTTTAAATTTATTTTATTTATTATTTTTTTATATTATGTAATTTATTAAACATTTTTAAATATTTATTTTTAAATTTAAAAAAAAAATTAATTAAATTTTATAATTTTTTATTTTTATTAAATAAATTTTTTTAAAAACTTAAAAAAAATATTTAAAAATGTTTAATAAATTACATAATATAAAAAAATAATAAATAAAATAAATTTAAAATTATTGTTTATTAAATAGACGGTTAAATAAATAGTTGTAAGTTTTTAATTGATTAAAAAATTACTTTTTACTTTTTGTCATTCAGAAATTGTCAAAAAACTTAAAACTTAACTTTTAATCATTAACAATTGTTAAAGGACTAGTAAACAATGAGAAAACATAAATTCCATTAGGATCCGATAAGAGTGAGAGAGTAGAACTACTTGCTGCGACGTTTTTTCATAGAAAAAAGCCGAGGCCTTGCTAAAACAAATTCGATATTTTAAAAACTAAAAGTGGCTCCAACTTTTTACAAAAACCGATTGTAACTAACAATATGACGCAAGTATTAAAATAAAAAAATTTTTTTTTTTTTGTGGGGGCAATAGTTAAAAAATTTTTTTAAATCTTATTTTGTTTTTATTTTTAAGAAATTAAAAAAAATTTTTTTAAGTAATTTTATTTTGAAAGGAGAGGTTTCAGAGGAATTAATGCAAAAGACATGAAGTCAATTGGATTCATATAACCGGAGATACAGATTTTCAATGAGAGGGTACTTTTTCAAATTTGACAATTTTTGGCACACTTAAAAAAATTCTAACTAGGAAAATAATTTTTTTTCGGTCAAATCCTGATACACGTGTTTACTTATTTTCCGAATAGTACGTGTAAAAAAAGTTTCAGGCAAATCAAAAATGTGAAATTTTTTTTTTAGCCAAATCTGTTCGGTTTGTAAAAGAACGGCCCATATATCTTTAACAGATAGCACAACTCTCACCATTATAAAACAAGAAAGGAAGCTAGCTTCGGCCAGCCGAAGCTTAAATACCCTTGCAGATCATTCCTATTAATTAACAAATCGCAAAAATGTTCAATTAATTTCATTAATCTCAGTAATTTTCCGATCGTTCCTATGGCAGCTATATGATATAGTCGTCCGATTTTGATCAAATTAAAATTGAAATTCGGAAATATTTAAAAAGAGTCATATCCTAGAGTAGAAGATAATACAATAAAAACCAAGGAAGCTAAAATTTATTTCCTATTACTTTTCCATTAATTTTCCGATCGTTCCTATGGCAGCTACATGACATATTAGTCCGATTTTTTAAATATTTAATTCGAAATTCAGAAATATTTAAAAAATAACATCCCCAAAAGTAGAAGGTAATATTTCAAAAAACACAAAAGCTAGAATTTTTTTAACGTTTTCTTTTCCGATCCTTCCTATGGGAGCTATAAGATATAGTTGTCCGATCCGGTCGGTTCCGACATATATACTACCTGCAATAGAAAGAAGACTTTTGGGAAAGTTTTATCCCGATAGCTCAAAAACTGAGAGACTAGTTTGCGTAGAAACAGACAGACGGACAGACGGACATGGCTAAATCGACTCGTCTAGTGATGCTGATCAAGAATATATATACTTTATGGGGTCGGAAATGTCTCCTTCACTGCGTTGCAAACTTCTGACTGAAATCATAATACCCTCTGCAAGGGTATAAATATCTGGAAGTTTTCACCCTTCTTGGATACACTATTTTGGTGATATCCCCATAGGAAAAGTGTAAGATATATCCAGGCCTTCAACCCAAATTTCGACAGATTTGACCGCTCTTTGTTGTTTTCGATTAGAGGAGAGAGCACATGTTGTCCCCAATCTCTCTTTCCCTCTCTTCCCCCACTTCCTCTTTCCCTAAAAGCAAAAACAACTATCACACAAATGGAGCTCTCTTGCCATAATCTCTCTCGCTCTCGTTGGCCCCCCTTGAGCCCCACTCGCCCCTTCTCTTACCCTCCAATGCAAGCCGGTTCACCGCGTGTTTGGCGATAAGTCAAATTAAACGGGCAAATATAGCGAAGCACTTTTTGTTTACAGCGAATGAAAGATTTAAATTGTTTTTTGTTAAATCTTTTCTATATGAAAGAGTGTATCAAATGGGGCTAAATTAGGACAGTCGGTAGCCCTCGAACTGAAGTATCTGATTCTTCAAAAATCATAAAAATCGAAGCATTTCCTGGGGAGTGACAAAAATGGTCGGTTTAAGGGTCTCCTAAAAGGGGAATTAGGATAATTTTCGGTATGCATGTAGCTTAGACCCATCCCCATCAACTGTAAAAATTTGAAGTGAAATTCTTCAATACTTTGGCTATGGCCAATTTTACAAGATTTAACGTTATACGCTCGCCTCGTGAAGAAGAAGAGCTGCCTTCAGTAGACGCGCTATAGACGTAACAACAACAAATACACAACTACAAATCATCCAAAGTTGTTGACGGCGACGATCTAGCTTTCTTTGTATTGGTCGCACGAGTTGATAATAGTTTATTTTATTGGATGGGTGAAAAGGGAAACGGGAGGTGTACCAATCGATCAATGAGTCGAAAAAAAATAGTTGCACAAGATTTTGCGATCCCACGGGAAACGGGAAAGGTCATTGGGGCTTCCTTTGAATGTAATCGTTGTGATTTGCAAAATTCAGAGCGTATAAAAGGAAACCAGCATATTTGCAAATCATTTTGTTTAGAATACTAAATTCGTTCTTTATAAATTAATTTAAAACTGTGATTAGGAAGATTTCACAAATTGAAAGTCATGGTTTCAGATAACGTTCAATTTTTAAGGTATATTTCAAAAAAGACTCTTTATGAAGGAAGAAATATTCAAAGGTCAGTTACAAGATAGTACTATGCTAAGGCCATTGGAAGTAATTTCATTAGACCAACGGAAATTTTTCATTTTGTTGCTTTAAATTTGAGTGCATAGTAACTCCCATCGATCGATGAATTAGTGGTGAAAATCCTTGCTGGCTTCCAATGGTGAAAAAGGCATGCACCCTGTGTGTGTTCGCATAACTGAAGTGCTTATAAGTTGTCCTTACATAATAATGAATACTCATTTTAAGGGCATGAGGTAATCCTTTTCCGGATTATACGCAAAACTCAAGTGGCTTGCGGTTAATTATTAATTTTAATCGTTGCCAACCGACTTAAGCCTGCCAAGGGTAAAACAGTATAGATAGGGTTGAAGGCTAAACTCACTTAATCTTTAAGTTGAAAAAAGTCGTTAAAGAAAGCCATAGATTTGTAATTTTTTAAGATCATTAACCTGCTTAAAATGAAAAAAAAAGTTTAAAGAAGTTTGTTTTTTTAAGGTAATTTAACTTTTTGACCCCAACTTTTTCCCACCGTTGTGAATTTCTTTAATAGTTTCTTCATTTGGTATTAGTTTAATAAGATTTGTACGAAAAAAATTATGCGAAGATGCTTTTAAGCAACGTAAACTTGTATTTAAACATAAAAATACATTTTCTACTTCTTTAAATTCAATTCTAATTTTACAATTTAATTTTGAAATTTCATACATGCTTTTTTTTAAATTTGTTTTTATTAGTTATTTTACACAAACTTTACACGAAATTAAAATATTTTACGTGAGTTTACAAACACATTTTCTACAAGTCAGTTTGTGCATTAGCTAAAGAGTAAGATAATTAATTTTTTTACTTTTGACATTTTCTACAGCATTTGTAATGTACGATCGTTTACAGCTAAACATGTGTTTTTATTTTACTTAGAAATAATTTACAAATTTTTATTCGAATTGGAATTCCGTTGGATCTATTACCCACATCAATACAATTTACACCAGATAGTCAACCCGATTTCCAGTGCACCGGCAGGCCATAGACACTATTATTATTTTGTCATTCTTTTGTCAATATTTCCGTTAAAAAAAAACTTTAAATTATTTGGCACCAAATAATCGACTAACTTTGCGATTTGCAATTTCGATTCAAGACTTGGTCATACATTTGCCACTCTGTGGATCAACAGTTTTGAATATTGAGGAGGAATTTCACATTTTAGATAAATTTCTCATGAGATTAATTGAGCAGTATTGCACCAATTTGCAAAGCATCAGTATTGGGATAAACGAAGCAACTGCTACAGAGTCGATAACTTTTTAGCCAACCTAAAATCCTTGAGGTCAGTAAGATTATGGATAGAGTGTGCTGCTAAAATTTTCAAGGTGTTAAAGAAAATAAAATATTTGAAAGGGTTGGAATTTCCTCGCTACGTTGGACGTGAAGGTAAGTTTAAAAAAGTCGCGATTACAAAAAAGTTGATATGTTTTACAATGTTCCAGAAAGGCAAATTTCCAACTTCGCTCACCTAGAAAGCTTATCCATTGCTATCAATCCAATTAAGACAAAAGTCGATGTTTTGGTTTGGTGCCCTGCACTAAAAAAACTACGATGTTTGAAACTTGTTGGCTTCAACGTTTGGCAATCGATTTATGGACCCGACGAAAATATCGAATTGGAGGAGCTTGTAATAAATGATTGTTGTGTCACTTCACAATGGCCAATTTTTCATCAGAAGGCTTCCTTATCGGATTGGATACGTTCACACCATCAATTTGTTTTAAAGCATGCAAAGACCCTGAAGAACCAACGTTGAGCTTCGTATTATCCGGAAATGAGTTCTTTGAAATATTAATTTGCTGCAAGAATCTGCGCTACCTCGAAATAAAAATTCTCAAAAAGCAAATTGATAAAGAAAATCTAGTCACAATGCTAAACATTTTGAAAAAGAATGGTATTACCCGGCAAAAACCTTTTGAAATAGAACTTGACCCAATTACGAATTATCTTAAAAATTTGGTGAGTTCTTTTAGCATAATCAAATTTAAGTCGCATGGATTTTCATGTAATGTTCTTTATCTTACAGCTTGTGGATATTCCCGGTTCAGAAATTATTCGTTTTAATAGTAATAAAGGACAAAGATACTAAATAGGGTTTTTGAAAATATTGATAAGCTTATTTTTCTTATGGGAATTTTACGTTAAATGAGAACGAAACGTAAATACTCTTGGAAATAGTAAAAATATTTAAAACCAGAAAAAATTTCTTTAAAATGTTTAAATTAACGCAAATTTTTATAAGAAAATAATATTTGGAAAATTGTTGTTCTCTTAGATCACCTAAAATTGTCCGAACGTACAACATTGGTTTTATAAATAATATATAATAGTATAATACTAATCCTAAAATAATTGCATAAAATTAAATCTTTAAAGATATTCCAGTCACATTATAAGATATTACAATTTCCCTAGATAGCTTAGTCCTTATATTACCGAGAATTTTGATTATGTTATGTATGTAGGGAATGAATAAGATGAAAGATTAAAGTAGAACAGATTCATTATATGAACAAAATAATAACATGATTCATTGCTTAGAATTCGACTAATATATTATTTAATTTTTATTATTGAGAGTATAGTAAACAGTTCTGAAGTACTCTCCGTACCAAACAGTTCGAACTGGGGAATTTTAAAAACTTTTGAATATATAAAAAAAAGATTTTAATATATTCGAATAAAAGTCATCTAATCTTTGGTATGTATAATACTAAAAATGTAATTTTTTTTTATTTTCCATTTTACATACCACATTTTTTTCAAAATTTTTCCCTTTCAATATACGTTGCAGCATTGCTTTTCAAAATGGAACCACACAGAAAACTAGTGGATTTACCAATGAATATTTTAATACAAATATTGGACAGTCTTGAAGAATTGGATCGGTGTCGACTAGCCCAAGCTCATTTCGTTCTTAAAAAGGCATTTATTTGTCATTCTGAAAATAAGTACGAAAAAATGTATCTCTCTAATTCTTTCTTACCCTACTTGTCAGAGATTTTACCAGTTTGTGGAGGATTAGTACAATGTATTGATAATTTAGATAACAATTTGGATGATATGATAATGTCATTAGTTGAACAACATTGCACAAACTTAAAAAGCATTTGTCTCCGAGTAAACGAAAACAATTGCGATAAGGCTAACATTTTCATCGAAAACCTAAAATCACTTAATTCAGTGGAAATCTTGATAACTTGTGTCGCCATTGAAAAAATCCTTAGTATGCTAAAAAATATAGAAAATCTTAAAAGTTTGGATTTTCTTCACTATGTTGGGCACGAAGGCAAGTATGCAAAAACATGTTTTTAAAATTATAAAGATACATTTTTTGTTTGTTCTAGGACGAGAAATTTGCAAATTGGTTCATCTGGAAAATCTGACGCTTATTGCACAAACCAAGACCACAAGAGTTGATGTTTTTGAATTGTGTTCTCCTTTGAAAAAACTTCGATCTTTGTCACTGGTTGGTTTTCGAGATTGTCAACCGAATGAAGGACCCCAAAACATCTCTTTGGAGGAGCTTAATATAGGTAGTGGTTGTTCTGTTGATGCAAAATGGACGCGTTTTCCTCGTGTGAAAAAGATAATAGCAAGGTTTTCTGGCTATACGCTGACTCCCGGTCGCGAGGAATGGATTTTAAAGCATTCAGAATCTTTAGAAAAACTGGTCCTAAGTTCCGGGATAACTAGAAAACAGTTTGCTAAAATATTAAGTTCCTGCAAAAATCTAAGCTATTTTGAAATAGAATTGTTTGGAATGATAATAGACATAACCTTTGTGATTGAAGTTCTTAACATTTTAAAAGAAAACGGATTCTCACAAACCAAACCTTTTAAAATGTACCTATACGACCAAACGAATCAGTTTAAAGATTTGGTGAGTTTCCTTAACACATGTCAATATAAAAAAAAAAAAATTGTGAAATTTTTATTACAGTTGGTGGATATTCCAGACTCCAAAATTATCAGCTTTCCAAGTTCTAAAGAAATATGTTTCTTTTCGTCTTAAAAATTTGGAAAAAAATCTTGTGAATTTTGTAAAGCAATTTTTATTAATGGCACACAGAAAATGAAACTGTAAATTACAAAACCGTATTTGTCAACGGTCTGCAAGTATAGCATACTTTCAATAACTTAAAAATAAATCTTAAACTAAAGCATACAACAGGGAAGCACTTCGATTGGACAACAAAGTAAAAGGGTCGATCGGTTAAGTTAAATCCTCAAGGTGAGACGTCTCTGAGGCTTCAGGCGCTCTTTTTCCGCTCGATCCTTGCGCATCCGCAGGACCTCCTCACCACGAAGCTCCCGTAGCCTACCGGGCGATATATTCACTTTCAGATTGAGTTTAGATTCAATCCTCGGGGATCGGCGACTTATTACAAAACTACTGGTGTCATTCGCGAACAACTTTTGCTGTCGTAATCGCACACAGCGCTTCGGAGTTTCAGATGCCCCTTCGTTCTCAGGAACCTCGTCCTCGCCGTCTATTGTTAACACTTCCTTGAACATATCCTCGACGGCGGTGAAGTATAGCGTGGAATCGGAGGAGGTCATTGTGAACCTGATGCTGGCGAGCAACTGAGCCTAAAATTGATTGAAGCCAGTCAGGGGACGAGTTTGAAATGCATTTGCACGGACCACCAGACTTTGGGCACTTTTCAACCCTCGACGAGGTTCCTGGCTACCTGATCCTAAACAATGGTATACACAAAACTAGGAAAACAGCTGGAGAGTCGACAAATTTTAGACTGAAGTAATGAGGGGTTTCCCTGCTGGTAAACCCTCATCTTACAACCATCCAGGGTTCTTTGAACTGCCCTAACTCAAAGGTTCATTAGGGAATTTTTTAAACTTTAATGAATAGATTTTCCAGTTTCTACAATAAATTTGCAAAATAATTTTTAAGTCCAAAGTTTGGACTCCAAACAAAGCGTGTTTAAGTTGTTTTAAAAATGTAAAATACTTTTCAAGGGGAATATATATATTTATTGTTTAATTTAAAAAGAAATTGTTAAACAATACTCAAGGCTTAAACTTTACAATAAAAAATGTTTTGCATTTTTATGGTTCGAGTTTAATGAACAGTACAATGAGTTCTTTGTCACACCGGAAAAAGTAAGCTAAAAGCGTACAGTGAATCACATTTTACGCCACAATAATATTATCAACCGGCAAATACCCAACCTTTTTAAAAACTCGCAAATTGCTCATTGAGTTGAGACCCAAACTATCTATAGATAAGAAAAAAAATCCCATTACGAGCATCCGACTCGATTAGATTAAATAACGATTGGACACTTTTGGTTTTTGGTTCGTTTCGATTTAACGGAGTTATTATTAACATAGCCTAAAGTATAAATTCATGTGCTCAGATCAGTATTCCTTGTTAAAGTAGTCGCGTATGCTGCGCTTTACAATTGGCGCCATTTTAGCGACCTGATTCCGCACCTCGTCAGTGGCCTTATCCTTGTGATAGTAGACGGTGAAGTAGACAATCAATCCGATGACCACGACCATAAGAAGCGCAGAAAACACGATGCTCAAAAGCATCTTGCAGGCGCAGGAGCAGCAGCTGTAAGGATATGGAATTTGGATTAGAAAAGTTTTAACTTGGTGTAATCGAAAATATCCTAATCCTAGGAGGCCTAATTAAATTAGATTGTTTAGAAGCCAATTTCATATCAAAAAGACATTATGCATGATATTATCACAGGTGTTCTTCCGGTCAATGAATCCCATAAAAGGTTTATATCCACAATTCTGGCAATCAATGAGTCAGGAACCAACGGAAACTCACCAGCAAACCACTTTGCCGGGGCATTTGAGGCATTCACAGAGAGCGTTGCACATGGTGATGACAGTCGTGGGTTATTATATGATAAGTCGTTAGAGGTATTTTCCAGGTTCTCGATGCGTTGTTGACCAACACAAATTATCAACTGAAGGGGTATAACAGCCATCGACCGCATTTTGGGTCGTCGTCAGGTATTGAAAGCTTTAATCATATCGGGCGAGAAAAAACAATAAACTGATAACGAGTCGGCTATAATTAACACGACGCCAGTGGCAAAAGTGTGAGAGAGATATTGGAAAATAGAGCTTACACTCTGTCGCCGCCAACTAGAAGTCATTATCCATCACTGGGATCTGGTTATTTTCCCATCCTGACGTCTCAGGACGAAATTAAGAATAACGATCAACTTCACAACCAATATCAAAACACAAAAAAGTATAGCTTTACGAAAACCAAGGCACATCTTTCCGAGCAATTTGGAAATCGATTATATTACACGTCTCCGGTGAAAGTATGATTTACGGAAATACGTAGAATATATATGAAATACTATAAAACTTATTATATCTATAACTATAATTATCCATCGAAGCACATAATTTTCTACATTTTATTTTATTTTATTTACGACTATTTTCTCAAAAACAAAGAATTTGATTAAGGTGGCTAAGGTACATGAATCATAATAAACTGAAAAAATGGGACAGACAGTCTGTGACAAAGACAAATGATTTTGGCCGGGAACTGATACGGGGCATACGTTCCAGATTGATTAAAGACAAAAATCAACATTGTAGCTATAAGGGGTAGGGGTTTTTCCCACCCTTTAACTTTCTATTTTTAAATTATTACTGAGCAGGAAGTAATATAACTGTTATCATTGAAACACCATGGCAGAAACTCTTTTGGATTGCTCCTCAACTCGAAAACTAAAGATATGCTTTGAGGATTTAGTAATCTCTACCGAAAAGACCTATTAGCTGATAATAGAAAGCTGTCAACTAAGCTCCAAATTCCTAGAAGAGCGATTAAAATACTTGGAAACTAGGGCTATTGGGGAATTTTTTTTTCAATCTCATCTATATCATGGAACCCTAACATTTGACAAAATAATAACGATAAAAAAAAATTTATAAAGTTACATTAGAAGATTCTATTCTGTTTTTACTTATACTTTACAAAGAAAGAAATCGATCTCTGTTTTACTATTTCAGGCCTCGTTCTACTAAATCCTTCAGATAATTATTTATCCGGTAAATCCTTCAGCTATGGAATGGACAACTTACCAGCAAATTACTTTGCCAGGACATTTCAGGCATTCACAAAGAGCGTTGCACATGATGATCGCAGTCGTGGGTTAAACTTCTTCCGGATTTCGACGTATTCTAGCCCAACTCAGATGGATAACTGGCACATTCAGTGCCATTTTCCACATTCTGGGGCGAAAAGCTTTCATCATATTGATGGAAAAAGAGAGAAACTGATATAGATTCGGTCACAATTAACACAATCAGAAGATAAGTATTGGAAAATAAAGCTTATATTTTTTTATCAGGGGTGTTAGAGGATCGATGTTTATGGGGACGGTTGTTTTGGAAAGATAGATTTCCCTTAGAGTTTTGGAGAAAAATTGGACATTTTTCTCTAGACCAAATTATAGATTATTTTCATTTCTTATTAAAAGGACTCTAAAAAATTATCTTTATAGATTTTTAAAGATTTTTTTATAATGATCTTCCGATCTTATCCCAACAATAAAATAAAACCCCCTTGTAAATTTTAATTTTTGCAAAAGATTAAAACGGTAACCGTCATAATAGATTAAACCAATTGCACCTAAAATCAAAAGCTAATCAATGATTGAACTGAAATTCATCGGGGGTTTACACTTCCATATTGGCTATTAGCAATCGTCATACGTACCAGCCAGAAAGCTGCAAAGCTCCGATACAATTTTATTGTTTTTTCAGGTAAGGAAAAACTTGGCATTTTAAATAAACACTTAAGGTAGGTTCAGTTCGCAAGAACCTTATCGATATTATTAAAGTATAGCATACGTCTAAAAATTTAATATGATTTAAAGAAAACTTAAACAGACAAAATATTTGTAAAATTTAAAATAATATTGTATTGACTTATTTTAAGCTCTAGATAAACCAAAGTTTTTATTAAACTAAACTAAACTAAAATGAGTCATGGAACATTTTCTGTTTGAATTTGGCATCAATGGCAAGCTTTTTTCGCTGGGGCCGTAGGTAAATAGAGGAAAACTCACAGCGTTGGTCCCCATTAATGCAGGTCGCCGATATTCGGGTTTTTTAACGACACCCGATGCCAACTGCTGATGTAGACAATTTGATGGACTTCTTGGAGCAGCTACAACGTAAGCAGACCTCTGGCTCTAAGCTCAGTGACAGTTCTCGTTTAAAGATGGTCATACAAGTCGGGTTGGGTTTTCTCCTGGTTGGTTTGGCTTTGCCCACAGAAGCCTGGCTGTTGTCCCAATCCGGCCTAAACGAATCCAGTTACCACGTCCGTCACTTGTCGATGCACTTCTCGCGAGTTTTTCTTAGCGTTAATGTGGAAAATAGTGATTCCCCCACTCTGATCGAAGCCCAATGGCCAGTTTCGTATTTTCCAATGCCCACTGTGGTCTTTCCTCACATCGATGTTCATGCAAAGGGAAACCACGACGATTGCTCCTTGCTGCAGCAGGCCCACTGGTCCCAGGTGGATGCACTGAGTCGACTGTGGGTCATGGACATTGGACTCCCGGGCGGCGGCAGGTGCTCGCCCCGATTGTTTGTCTTCGATCTGCTGCGTAACAATGCGGAGCTACTGAGAATCGATTGCGGACATCATATAAAGGCCAACGACACCGAATCTCTGGTGGTGCAAATGGGACCCAAGGGTCCGGGTTGCGAGCACGAACGGCACATCTACTTCATCCTGGGCAAAGTAGCGGAAATCATAGCCTACGACATCCTGGAGCAGACGTGGTCCATTCGATCCCTCGAGAGTCACAAGTACGAGAACATGAACCAGTCGTTTCCCATCAAGCCAGTGGACTTTACTTTCGGCATCCAAGGCGAACTCATCCTCGCCGATCAGGATGGAGATCTATACAGCTCGGTGGATAGACTGGAAAAGAACGAATTAGCCACCAATTCAATTAGCAACTCCATTAAACTCACCCATTTGGGCAGCCTCCTGGGCAGCAGTCGCAGCATGATCATCGATAATTTCGGCACCTTGTACTATGTAATCCCCAAATTTGGAGCTGTAGTGCGTTGTGCTAAGCTGGCCAACATTACAGCAGAGGGCAATGAAATCATCTATCTCACATCGAAGAACATCCAGCAGATATTTTTCACCTCCAACGATGCTTTATGGGTGCTAAGTGATCGGGTCTTGAATGCCAAGGACATGTGCTTCCCTAGCTTATGATATAATTTATTAAATTAACTTAAACATAATTCTTGTGTATATGTTTCGTTTATTATTCGTTTCGTCTGGCGTGGTGATGTAGTTCGTTTGGTTTGATAATAATGCTATGAATAGTTAATGGACCAAAAACAATTAGATTAATGGCTAACAGTTTGCTTATTCAGATAACCCATTAAGGCCTGCAGCCGCTTCTTGATGTTCTTCTGATCATCCAGAGTGCAGCCGAGCAGAACGCTCTCGAACTTCTTGTCGATGGGGCCCACGTCGGCCTCGGGCAGTGTGTCCATGTGTCCGGACGGATCCATCGAGCTGCTGCAGCAGGCATTTAAGTACAGCTGGCAACGTTGACGCGCTATCACGGGATCACCCATCTTGATCATGGTGTCGATCAGCGCGTTTATCTGGCTGAGCGAATCCTCCTGCGAGTTGTCGCGCACAGTGCGCACATTTAGCTCCACGGTGCCCAAGCGGGAGCTCACTCGCTGTATGTACAACATGATCTCTTCTCGTTCGGCTGTAAAAGAAAATTGATATACGGTTAGATTAGGGAACATGAAATAGGTTACTGGGTAAATTACAGTATCACATTTAATATATAATATGTTTAATATCAATTTATCTTAAAATACATTTAATTATCTTTGTAAAATGTATGTTGCCTTTTCTTTAATTCATAAAAAAATAATATTAATTTATCTAAAAATACTTTGCATCATCTTTATTATTGTTTATTTCAGTAATATTTTAAACGATTATCGACTGATATAAATGAAAAATGTATTTTTCCTTTTCTTTAATTCGTAAAATATGGCAATCCAAAAATCTTAAAGAATCTCGTTTGATTTTACGTGCACATGAAAAGAATCCAACATTTATTGAACAAGTATTCTAATTTGTCCAGCTATAAGACGAACTTTCCCCTACACTCAAATTTGCTTCACTAGCGATGTTTTTTCTTTAAAATACAAAACTTTTCTACTGGTAAAGAAAACTTTCTTCAAATTAATCAAAATTTATAAAATATAAGAAACTTTCTTGAAATATAGAAAAAAATCGCCAGTGAAGCAAATTTACTAAAATTCAAGGGGGAATACTTTTTTGAATGTATTATCGCCTGTATTTTATATCATTTTGAGCTATAAAGGGCTACTAACAATATGCCATTCTCACCCTCGCTCATGTTCTGCATCATTTCGTTGCTCTTGATCAGATCCATGGACATCAGTAGGTAGTCTTTCTTCTCCTGCAGGTTGAGTGCATCCTTGCGCAGCTTCTCCACACGGGCATCCAGCTGGTCCAGTATGTTGACGAATCTGCAAGTCAGCAGAGGATTAGTCTTTGGCTCATTCAAGAGATCAACTAAAGATTTACCTCTCGCTGGTGTTATATGGTCTGTCACATGTTTTATAAGTGTGGTTTGCGGTTCGGTGGTTAGGTCATGAAAAGAGACAAGCAACGTTAGACGGTTAGATCGACCGACCACTTATGGAGCTATGAAATTGTAACCAGAATAGGTCTACAAAAGAGGCGCTCGCACACACATAGCTCTTTTTGGAGTTGTGTGGGCGGCGTTCGCGGCAGATACTTTAAGCTATCACCATTATTGTTTTAGAACAAAAGAATCGAATGAAGCTGCTAGCTGGTAGTGCGAAGAAATGATAGATAAGAAACTCATAAGTTTTGTTTCGCTACGAGGTTGTGTTTTTGTTTTGGTTTCGTGTCTGATTTGGTTTTAGTTAGGATGGAATAACAACCTGTCCAGGGCTCTACTGTCGTCGACGAGTCCGTAGGAGCTGTTCCCGCCACTGCCACCACCTCCTGCGGATCCTGCCGTGGATGAGGAGGCCCTCAAATCTTGCAAGTAATCGAAATTCATGGATGACTCCGAGTGGGGATACAGATGATGATGCTGGTAGTGAATTTGGTTCTGGAGATGATTGTCGCTGGTTTGCTGCGCTGCTGGCGCATCAACTTCCATATCCTGCGGCTGATCCAGATTTGATTTGAACCTGCCGCCCTTCCGAAAATCCGGTCAAGTGTTTATAACCCAAAATGGCCAAGCTGCCTACTGTTTTTCTTTTGTTTCTTTTTTTGGAATGTCTTAAGCTTTTTGCGAGTGGGTGTCGAAGTGTTTGATGCTGTTGCTTATTTAGCTTAATTTTATTCGTTTTCTGAGGCTGCAAACAGAGAGAAAGAGGAAGCGTGAATGCGAAGAATTCAATTACCTATCTGATTGAGGACTGTGAAAAGAAGCCTCCGACCAGGAGACCTCATAGCCATCACTGTACTCGGGGGAGTCGACGTCTATATCCTCCGGATATCGGGGTATTATCTCCGGCAACTTGCTGACCGGGGGCGTGGCTGCCGGCGGGGGCGTGTCTGTCTCGCAGCGACGTCGTTTCCGAAAAATACCGCGCAAGTTCTCCAACATCTTCACACGAATTCTCTAGAAGATTCCCCTCGATTCTCGGCTGCTTTCTAGAAGAATCTCTGGTTTCTGTTTTGGATTTGCATAGATTACCTGCCGCCCGGGCTTCAAGTTCCGACTTTAGTGCGCCTCTTGCCCGATACAAATATATATATTTGATTTTCTGAGTATGGGAGTTCGAGTTCGATGACGGCAAAATTCGTGTTTTGTGAGGTTTTTCCCAGGCTCCGTTTGTTCATATCCTCAGTTTCATTTTAGAGCACCTTCGTTGTTTACTTCTAGGGCCAATCAAACATTTCGCTTTGCTTATATTTAGATAAGTATAAAAATGATTAATTTAACAATATATAGTGGGATTTGTAAGACCGTTAGAGGGTAGCCGAAAAATAACAGACGCAAAATCGATACGCGATATCGATAGCGCTGTCGATAGCGATACTCCAAGGCCAGTGTGTACACACGGGATGTGATTTCATTTTGTTATCGGCGGGTAATTTGAAAAAAGGCAGCGCAAAATACAAATCGTATATATTAATTTATTTTCTAGTATTAATAGTCTTAAATTCGGTCGAAAAAATATATTTATGAAATCATATCGCCAAAAACCAGTGTGCAAAAATAAGCAAAACAATTTTTTTTGTGTTTTTAAAGTTTTTTAAAATTTAAATCAATTGACGTTTAGTGAAACGGTTCAATTTATCAAGTAAAACCAATCATTCCAAAATACCTTAGCTACAAAGAAGTATGTACAACTTTTCAAAACAAAGTTTTCACTTTATTTGTGGCGCCAGATTCAAATCGCGCACACAGAGAGCCGTTCGTGACCACTGGCAACTTTTGGTGGAAATATCAAAGAAATAATAGAAAGGACACTGCTGAAGGCTGGCGTGTCCTTTGACACAATAGATGAAGAATTCGCAGCGCTCCATGTGGGGATACAAATGCTGTCCGTAGGCCGGACAGTGAATGAGATCACTGGAAATGGATCCACCCGGCTGAAAATTGGAATTGCCATTCGCTGGCGCCTCCGCCTGGCCACCCAGGGTGCACTGAGCTCTCTCCGGAATATCGCACTTGCCCGTCATGGCATTCCAATGCAATTGGGAACTGCACTCCTGCAATATCGCCTGTCCATAGTAGCAAATGTAAAAATGACTGCAGCTGCTGGAACTTCCGACATAGACAATTCTTTCGCTGGACTGCTGTGTCACTATGGTGGCACAATATGTGGCGGCATCCGTCACCATGTTGTTGGGATCATCATTATCATCACCGTCGAAAGGCGGAATTTCCATGGCATCTGTGCCATTTCTGCATTTCACATTTCCCGCCGCATCGCAAAGTCGGCTCTCCGAATTGAAGAGCATGGTTGGTGGACAGGAGGCCAGGACAGCGTCGCCATTCTCCACGCAGAGGTAGAACATGTGGCAATCCTCTGCATGCTCCACAAACTCACCAACCAAGTGATTGCTACAAAAGCTTCCGCCACTCTGTCGAATGGTCACCGAATTCGTAGGCTTCGATGGCCTCCAAGTTATCTGCGCCGAAGCAAGCAAACAGCTCATCATCACATAGATCCCTAAAACCATAGAATTTATTAATATTTATTTATTTTTACCAATCAATCTTACTAACCCGTATTAAGCATCATCTCTTATTCCTTCGTCAGACTCCAGTAAAGCGCAGTTTTATTCTAATTTCGTAATGCCCGGAGAACTTGACATATATGCCATGGAAACGGCGCCTCAGCCTCAGTATCAGAAAATTAACATTTTCAATTGCTTGTAGAAGGAGTTGATAACGCGGCTGGAGCAACCAAACTTTAGTATTTTGTTTTGCCAAAATATGTGATATGATATCGCCGTTTGGCACCGAGATACATCTTTAATGCTAGCTGGATTTTTTAATTTCAAAACCCGGTGAAAAGGGAGCCCAGATTAGCTCAGTTAGATTGCAGGTGACAGTTCCAAGGAAATTGCTTAGTTGATATCGCAACACATGTTGTCCTTGTAAAGAAAATTGTATCATATCGGTCAATGAGAAACATTTCCCATCGAACTGGAAGGTTGGCCTATTTCTGTCAACAATTTGAGCAAAAGTTCTGACTCAAGGTTTACATTTCGCAAAGATATGAAATTGTAGTCACGAATCACTGGAAAGTAGATAAATTTTGGGAACTATTCAAGGTCGACTACTTTTATGACAGATGGTATAGAAGTTTTAAATTAATTAAAAATAAATATAGTTCAAATAAACTTAAAAATAAATAATAAAAATTAAGAAATTTGTATTCAATATATTTTTAATCCAACCCCATGTTTTTTTTAATCACTCATAAGTAAATTTAAAAAAACCTAGTTAGGTTCTATCAGCTTTTATCATATTTTCATTTGCATTTGAATTTTGTTATAGCATATATTTTTAATCCAACCCCATGTTTTTTTTGCAATATCCCATTAGAAAATTTTCGGATTTAAATTTCTTCCTCAGCAAATTTAATTATTTTCTTCAATCATCAAGGTCGAAATAAAATTATGGTAAGAAATATTATATTTCTTTTAAGTTGGGAATTAAAATTAATACATTTTTGGGACTTCTGGGATCAGATTTTTTATATTTTTAATCCAATCCTATATTTGTTTGTAATCTCCCAGAAGTAAATTTCTAAAACGTAGTTAAGTTCTATCGGTTTTTATTATATTTTCATTTGCATTTGAATTTTGTTATAGCATTTTGCCTGACTTAGAGCCACGCAGGATCGCTTCTCGTAATCCCATCCGTAGAAGAACGGGCACTGTTGCACCATCAAGTAACCAGAACGACATTGGTAAAAGTAGTTGCAATTGTCGGAATGCGGATAAACATCGATTACATGTCGTTTGCACTGCTCTCGAGGATTGTACGTCATTGCCTGTAGGGAATATTTCAATTATGAGGGGTTTTAACAGCAACTATGATTAACCCACCAAACATCTGACATTTTCCGGATGATCACATTTTCCTGTCCGCGAATTGAAATGCAAACTGGCGGCACAGCTGAGGGGCAGAGCTTCGCCACGATAGCAAATGTAATAATCCGAGCAGGAGTTTTGATTTGGCAGCAAGGCGATGCGGCTTTGATTATCCATTTGTGGGCACACGTTGGTCACAATAACCTCTATGCCGGGAGATATGGGAGTAGGATTGGTACTCCCGTTTTGATTGACTGACGGGCGGAGGGTAACAATCACCGATGGACGCGCTGTGGTATTCACTGCAATCGTTGTGGGCTCCTCAACCTCAGATGGTTCCGAACTACTAATCTCCGTTGAGCTATCCGTCTGAACCGCCAATCCCGTGCGGCAATCAATATCGCCCATGGGCTCACACATTTCCATATCGGGACTGAAGTATTCGCCCTCCTCGCATTCACCATCGTATGACTCATCGCCGTTGCAGAAAATATAGTGTGCGCAACTCTTGGGTGAGTTAACAAACGACAAGCTATTGCCGTCATTACACTCAGCGAAAACATCCGCCAGGCAGGGTCCCAGCAAAAGTAGCGATACCAAGATGGTTGCAAAGACTCGATACATCTTCTCTGCTTGATTTCGAAAAGTAAACTGATCAAACTCTCGCATTTTCCCCAGCCACCTCAACTCTAAGATCCTCTATCAGAAACTAATTTGCCTAAGAACACGGTTTTGATAATAGCTTTATTACACAGACTCACAGATGAATCTTACGAATGTAAAACCGATGAACGATTGGGTTTTGTGTAGATACACTGTCCTTGCGCAGCGTCGAAATGAAAATTCTGTGGGCATTGCTGGAGGAGAAGATAACCGGAGATACACTGATAGTAGTAATTGCTATTCGCCGGATAGGGATAGACTCCATTTCTTCCACTCGTCTTGCAGATCACGCGGATATCGTTGCTTGGAATCGGAGTGGTACTAGAAGTTGGTGCAATCGATGGGGTTTTAGTTGTAGAGGTTGAGTTTTCCGGTGGAGGGGGTTCTTCTTCGGTAGTTGTAAATGCGGGTCTAGGGGTGGTAATTGGTGGTGCAGGTGCCTTGGTGGTCACTTCTTGGTTATAACACTCGACGGCCTCGCGACAATCGCCATTGCAGTAATACGAATCATCACCATCGCAGTGGACAAACTCGCTGCACTCCTGATTTTCGTTAGTCACCTTGTTGATAATCACACCTTTGCATTCCTCAAGGAAAACCGACTGGTGGCCAGGCAAAAGGCAGGCCAAGACTATCAAAAATTGCCACATATCTGGAAATAATAGGCCTTCAACTAACTCATCGCGCAGATCAGAGCCTTCTTTATAGGTGGGAAATACGGTTCGTTTAGCTTGTTCAGAGATAAGACGGTAAATTCATTTTATTTTCTAGCTATAATGATTTTATTTTTGACACGACAAGAGGCTTAATTAATTTTACTTCAGCGTACAATCGTTGGAGTTTCTTATGCGACCACCGCAAGCTCCAGTTTGAGAATCGAAGGCATAGCCGATAGGACATTGCTCCACCAGCAGAAAGCCATCGACGCAGTAGTAGAAATAGTTGCAGTTCTGTGGGTAACTAAATCTTTTGGTTACCCCCTGACGACACTGACGTCGAATGTCGGAGGGTGAGACGGTTGACGAGGGTGCTGTTGTTGTAACAACTGGAGTTGTTCTGATGGGCGAGGCAGTGGAATTATTCACTGGTAAATCCATATCGGCACAGGTGAAGTTGGCACTACAGGTCCTGTTGTCCGTGCAAAACATCGAATCCTGGGCGGAGCAATTGATGAAGGAGTAGCTGCAATTGACTCGCGTGTTGTTAATGAAGCCATTCTGACCACTGCACTCGGGAATGTTTAGACCGTTAATTCCCCAGACAACGAGAATAATGCCGTAGGCGATCAATAGAAGTTCTTGGCGCAAAGATTGCTGCATTCTCGATCTCTTTGTGGAGTTCGCAGCGATGTGCTAAGCTTTTTATAGCCGCTCAGCCCGAGGCAATCGAAATCAAGGTCTTTCTTTCCTAATAAGTTATATTTAATTAAACGTCTCATGTTGCCACAATCTTGTAACTTGTCAATAAATAGAGCTCTTATCGGCTAAGGGTAGGTAGACAACTCCACCCAGATATAATGAGTGATTTTCGGGAGGTGGGAGTTTCCTACACTCGTCGGGAGTTTCCGTAGCATTTCGCCACACTTATCTGCACACAACTCCGGCGCTCGATGTCCCAGCCGTAATAGAAGGGGCACTGCTGGAGCGTGAGGAAGCCCTTGATGCAGTAGTAGAAGTAGTTGCAGTTTTCCGGATGTGGAAAGAACTCGGTCATGTGAGGCAGGCATTTGTGCGATCGCGGATCTTCCAGCTGAAAAAGTATTTAGAGTTTAGAGCTTTGAAATCTTCGATTCGATTGAAACCAGGGTTCGGAAAATAACACACACTGTAAAAAACATGTGTTATTAACATGTTAAATGTCACAGTTTTAAGTTCAAAAAAGTTATTGACTTGTGTGTTAAAAATTGTAGCCTACATATGTTAGAAACATAAATAACACACACAGTTCATTTGTGTTATTTACACGACTTGTTTTTTACACAACGTGTTTTTAACACAGTGAGTTTTTGACACAATGAGTTTTTGACACAATGAGTTTTTCAATTACCCTTCGACTCGTTAATGTTATTAAAATGTAATTTTCATTTGTGCTCAAAACACAGTGGGTAAAAAACACTTCGTGTTAATAACACATTGTGTAAAAAACACATGTTAAAAATTTTGCTTACACTGTAAAATACAATTTTTCATGTTCCTAACATGTGTGTCAATAACCGAACCCTGGTTAAAAACCTACCGAACACTGGACCTTATCCGGGTAATCGCACTGTCCGGTGAGCGAATTGAAGTACAGCTCATTGGTGCAGTGCATTTCCATGGCATGTCCATGATAGCACAGATAGTAATTCGTGCACGATTCATTGCTGGCCATTAAGATAACCTGACTGGGATCATCGCTAATCGGGCATTTGGGCAGCACCACGGGAGCAATATTTAGGATATCCACTTCGGTTGGCGGAGGATCGGTTGGCCTCGGTGTGGCTGGTATTACCTCCTCCTCTTCCTCGACTTCCGGTTCCGGTTCCGCAGGTTCGGCAGGTTCATCGACTTCGTCCAGAAAGCATTGTACATTGGCCGCCACATCGCATGCTCCCGTCTCGGAATCGAAGTATTCACCCTCATCGCACTCGCCCTTCAGGGAATCCTCACCCTGGCAATACACATAGGATCGACAGCTCTCCCAACTTTGGACAAACGACTCGTCATCGGCCCCCTCGCATTCGTCAAAGTGATCGGCGTTTATTTGGCAACTCCAGAACAGCAGCAGCCCCAGGCACAGGTATACCGAAAATCTGGACATTCTATTGGCTTCGTCTTTGGTTCTTCTGAATCTACTGAAAGAAGTCGACGGCTTCCCCATTATATTTATGGACCTGTTGCGATGAGTTTTCCCCCAAGAAATACCTGCCGACACGCATTTCTTTTTAGTCTAATTGAATATCATTTTATCGAGAAGGCCTTCGAGATAACTCTAGACGAGGTTCATTGTATTACAAAATATTCTGGTCTCCGTGAATCACCGCAGCATACAGCTTCCAACTACCTTTCATTATGTCATCACCTGCTTGCAGAATCGACATTACAGCGGTCGATGGTTCCACTTATTTCGCTGAATATGTTTACACAAGCCGAAAAACTTAAAAATTAATATTCAATATGCTCGCACATACCTTTGTACATACCTACCGACATACCGACGAAAAAAGCGTCAAAAGCGTGAAAGAGACAACGCAACAGAAATCATTGACCTCAACAAACGCCGCATTGGCCGTATTTTGTTTATGGATAGCTAAAAACCAAGACGTCAAGCTGAAAAATACTTTGGATAAACGAACGCGACTGGAAGTTACCCTGTCGCCAAAAACGTTTCATTAGCGTTCATTTGAAATTCAGAACATTCTGGCTTTATCGGCCAAAATGCAGATACGAAATTATCTCTAAGCATGCTCCAGTTCGCTTTAAGTACCCCGACTTTATACAGAACAGGGTTCCTGGTAAACTATCTTAAAATTGCAGTTTTCTCGCATAAATATATCGTATGTTCCTTTAGGCATAAAAGACACGTACTTTATTTTCCACTTTATTTTAAAAACTGTAAAAAATAAATTGAACTTCCATAAATCGAAAAACTAACTGTTATTAATATAAATACATTAATTAGAATTGTGGAGCCTTAACTGTACTTAAACTGTATTTATCCTCCCTATTGCCTTTAAAATTTGTTAAAACTAAACAATAAATATTATTAAAAATATAATGATAACAGTTTTTAGTTTTAACTGCATCTGAGCTTTACTCTATAGATTAAACCGTCATTAAAATATTTTAATTTTTCCGTTAGCCTTAATAGTATTAAAATTTACATCTATAGGCCTTCCTCGATAGTACAATGATTTGTATTTAGTGGCTGAAGAGTACCCAATCTTCGAACTCGCATTTCTCTCCGCCCCTCCACCCTTTGTTATGATATAAATCACACGAACCTGCGATTTGCCTCAGGTATATTTCTTCTTCGGTATTCCTTTCCATTATTTGCACCATCATGGCGGACGGACACCATCGAGTGGATCGATCGGACGGTAGAATTTGCACAAAATCTAATTTATTGTCAAGCATTTCCAATGACGATAAGACAGAAATAAGCGCTGCCGGTCGTCTATGCTGGCCAACTTTATCGTGCACCTGTAAGAGGGGAAAAATTAAAAATATAAATATAAATAAAATCAACAGGGGCAGGTAGTGAGCTGAAGTTCTTTATGAAATTGTTTAAACAAGTGCAGACGCAACCAATCTTTTGTTGTTGTACTCGTACTTTATTATAGCCCATTTCTTATGGGCGATATTTGCTTTAAATGCAATTGACAGATGGACAGAACGGATGACGGGAAACATCGATCGAGCTGGAACAAAAGAGCGCTCAATGCGCTGACGATATGTGGATTCAGTTGTAAAGACAACGACGGCAAAATGTCTGCTGCGTTGCCTATGTTTACACGACAAAATATACATTATACACCCCCCGATCGTCTCCGATCGCCGAGTTGTGTATTTAATTTACAATCCACATGTACATTTATTTACAATCGTGTGTTAATATCATTCGCCACCGTTTAAAGATACTTTTTCATGGGGCCAGAACAAGTGGCTGGAAATATGACGACGACGATGACACGATCGTTCCCAAAATGTCCTGAGGGAATGATCAACAATGAGATCATTTATTATTTTTAGACAAAATGAAATGCGTATCGCATCTCTAAAAGGCAGGTACGATATAGGCAACTGCGTGCGATCTCAACTCTGTTTTTTTGACAAAGTGATAATGATGAAACTAGGTCAGAATGTATTGTTCGGCTTATTTTGCTGTCGCTTTCAGCCAGAATATTTCCTCAATAGCACAAAGCAAACTGGAAGCTGACTAAGTGAGGAATGTCTAAGGCAATTAACAACTCCTGAAAGAGATCAATGTCCTGCTAAACACTTTGCTTTGTACCCACCGTTTATTGAGATACCCAAACACGAGCACATATTTTTAGATGGCATGGCATATGTTTTTATGCATTTTCTTAGTACTTTTCCGAGGAACACACAAAAGCCACAGGCACAGCTGCTTTTTCATGTATGTCGCTAATAATAGCATATCATTAAACAAGAGAATTTTGTTTAATGTGCAGAATAAACGAAACTTATCAACTTGAACGCGAAATAAAATTCAAAGTTTATGTTTTTCTGATTGTGTCGGGGATTTGGCATGGCTGCATAAATATCTTTTTCAGCATTGGTTCCAAGAATCCAAACCAGAATTTATGCTGAAAATAATTAGCGATAAGAAAACATTGTGACCCGCTGGGAATGGAAAGAGACCCTAATAGCTGATAGGGAGTGACTCATATTACCAACGTGATAAGCAGTCCTTTGTGTCCTGCAAGGGAAATCCTTATCTGCAGAGTATCCACAGAAAAACTTATCTCTAAAAAGAAACTAGAATTCTAGGTTGAGAAACATAGTGCGTTCAACTTTAAGCATAAATCATTTAAAACTTTGTAATTTCAAAAACTCGGTAGAAAATATTTATTGTGTTTGTGTTCGTTGTGGGCGAATCTAAAATGATAACAGGTATCCGCAATAACAAAAATTCATTCATACGGGGAAGTTATTAAATTATCAAGCCCAAAGGCATGACAGCGGAGGAATCTAATCAGAAGCTTCTGGCATAACGCTAAATTATATTCTAAAAGAAATCTCAAGTGCAGATTAAAATATTACTGCAGATAAACAGGAAGGGGTAAAGCTGACTAACAGACACCTACATCGTACATACAACGTCCGTCTTTCATCTCCCAACAGCAACTGAATTTGTATCTTTATTTTTCCAGTGAACACTCCGCCTAACTCACACCCATATATCCACAACCTTCTTTTTTTTTTATGTGATGTGATTGTGATTCACAAATCAAATAAAATACATATAATATTAAAAGAGAAAAAGGAAAATATACGAATAAGCGTCGTCGGTGGCGAAAAATATTTGTGCCAGCCATAAGATACAATATATCTCTTTCTCTATATATACTATATAACTGTAAAAACCACTTGAAGCGTCGCCAGCAGAGTGCGATCGGATTTGTCAAGAGAAGCCAGAAGAGAGGCGTAGCCCCGTAGATCTCGGGCTAAGAGAATCCGGCGGGTATTGTATTTTCTGCCTCGCAAATTAGGGGCGGTGTTGGGGTACGAAAAATATTGGGAATGGCCCGGCTCGGCTCGGCTTTGCCCGCCAGAGAAGCAGACTGCGGCAGCGAGCTATGCGGGTTCAAATGCGGCCAGCATGACGAATTATTACACACAGTCTCGCGACTGGCAAATGAAATTTAATGTGCACCGCAAGAAAAAGAGTCTGCATGTGTGAAAGTTGCGAATAATTAGTGGAACAATAAAAACGGAAGTAACAGCCACTATTAGTTTGATAACTAGATTTTTAATATTACTTTGACATTTTAAATCGAGTTCAATTCTAAATTTATTTGCATACAAGGCTAGAGCGAGGTAAGTGTGATAGAAAACGACCGGTTTCAAATTGATTTAACTGATTAAAATATTTAACAAATTTTTTTAATCATCCTATTTATGTTCTGGTAATAAATAAAAGCATAAATTTATTTATAAATATATAAAAAATAAAAAATACAATTTTAAACACATTTATTACAAGATTATTTAAAGATTAGCAACAAGTAGCACACTACCTACAAAAGTCCGAGTTCAAATACCTCCCGTAAAAAAATAATTTTTTAATTGTTAATGCCAATTTTAAATGCCTTTCTTTATTAGAAAATGTTTTTTTTCAATGTAAAATACAAAGCACTCACACATTTAGTCGATTCATGTGGCTGTTTATACACTCACAATGCACATTGATGATGTTGTTGATGGGATTGTGATTCAAGTGTGCACGAGTATATACATAAAATATTGAAACAAGAAGGGAAAGGCTACCCTTGCAAATTTACCATAAAGCGCTTAAATTGACACCGACAGTCAATTGATGTGGAGCCATGAAATCGATCAAGCTGTAGGTACAAGATCATCTTAACCTTTTCCCAATTAGAAAGTGTAACGAAATTTTTGGGAATGCGAACAAGCCGATCTTCGAACAAATTTCTATTTTCCATAATTCGGAGAAATTCTCAATGACCAAAATGTTTGGAAAAATCAATGTACCCCAAAGCCTAAAAATAAAGGGCACCCAATAATCCGATCCCTCTCAGTGGCGTCTCAGCTATCGGAGCTCATTGATCTGGGAGTCTCAGTGGCGGGAGCTTGTCTATGGGGATTTTCAATGCGATAATCAAGCGAACGGGGCGAACTATGTAAGCCATTGGGGATATTGGGGATTTTCAAATTTTTAAATACAATACAATAAAATCACGGCAACAAATAAGAAATTAGTGGCCGAGAGCCGAGTGCCGTGTGTGTATATTTTCTGTGGGATACATGACATGCACGGAGCTATGCCTCTCCATATGTATTACACAAGCGTTTTTGTGAAAACATCGCCGTTGTCATCGTCGTCTGCGCTGTATCTGTATCTGTTGCCCGGGCAGCTTTAAACCGGATCTTTGGTTTGAAAGTACATTCACTTTGCGCCGTCGACGCTGACGCAGCGTTGCAGCAGCAGCAGCCCCAGCAACCCCAGCAGCCAAAGTGGCAGAAGTCCAGGCCGGGCCCCAAAGATCCATATCCATATCCATGCCCCAAGACCATAGACCATAGACTCCAAGCCAAACTCCTAACTACGGCAAACAGCCTTCAAATGACTGAGCAAAACGACTTGGCTTGGCTCTCCTCTCGGTTTGGTCTGCACATGTGCATAGTTCAAATAACTTGGTCAAGTTGACAAGATCAACGGAGCGAGTGTTACCAAGCGGCAGCGGCAGCTAAGTCGGGTCTGGTTGCAGAGCGGGGAACCCCTCTGCAGTCGCAGTTCCCCCCTCCTTTTTTCCAAATCAAATACTCGTACCAACAAAAAATCTATAATAAAAAACAGGTTAACAAATGTTGCCGCAACGCTGACGTCGACGCAGCTCGGAGCGTCGGAAGAAACTTGTTTTCCTTTCCTATGCGGCTCCGGGTCTCGAATCTCAAATCTCAGGCCTCTCGGGTCCCCGGTCTCCGGACTCAAAGACGTCGTCAAAGCCGGCTTACGACAATCAACTTACATTCACTTCTCAAAGCCCCGAAGAGCGTGAAAGTTTCACTAAGAGCACGGTTTTCGGGAGAGAGTCGGACCCCATGGAAGTCGAAGCCGGCTACCCGCATGTTACACAGTATCAGGGGTAGATCTGTGGTAGCAAGAACTGTGGGAATACTTAAAAAGTAAGGAGTAGATACAACAACCCCAAAACATGTTTAGTAATATCGGGAACGAATGACTTCAATTAATAAACTATGTGATTAGATGGCCTTGGGTGTGTGGTAATGAGACCCTAATAACTTCAAATAAGAGATGGGCTATAACATTAGGTATATGATTAAATGACCGAGTTCAACAACTTAAAATATTTTAACTACACATGCTTCACTGCACTACACATGCTAACGGACTAAAAATATAATAATCCTACGGAATTCATTATTGCTGATTAAACCAAGTAATAATAATTCCAAAGCTTATTCTACAAAAAATGTTTTTTATGAAGGTGCAATTGTAAAACCTTTTGCTAGTATCTAGTGGATTCTATCTATTTAACCCTATTTGAAAAAAAAAAAAAATAAATAAATAAAATAAAAATAAAAAAATAAAATAAAAAATAATAAATAAAAAAATAAATAAAAAATACATTTTGTTATAAAAATGTTTCCATTTAGTCATCTTCAAGATACATTTCCAATCCAGAGGAAGTATCACCTGTTCGAGCTTTACCATCTGGAATTCTGAGTTGCCGGCAATTTAAACGCGAGAGGAGAGAGTAACAGAGATAGGCAGAAAGGGAGGGCTATAGGCGAACGAAAGAGATGGAGAGTCGCAGAGAGAAAGAGAGAGACGGCGGGCAGCGACGTCGGCAGAGGGCTGACGTTTCGATTCGTTCGTTCGCATTCACAAGAATTTCACCGACATTTAGTTTAGTACCGTTTTTGGCTGCAGTCGCACTACGGACAG